GTCGCGGCGTCCGCGCGCGCGCCGTCCGCGGCGCGCTCCCGCGCGCGCGCCGCGAGCGGCGCCAGCTCCGCGTGCAGCTGCCGCGTCTCCAAGAGGGCCAGCCGCACAAGCTCCGTGCTACGGTCAGACCACGGACGTACCTGTACGCACGCAGCGCCCCCGTCGAGAGGCTCAGCCTCGCCTCGTGCACGAGCTGCAGCGCATGCTCGTTCGGCATGCCTGGACGGACGGCCGGCGCCGCGGCGCGGCGCGTCGCCCGCGCATGGAGGTGTGCTGCCTCTCTACCATGCTCCACCTGTCTGTGTGGGCGCCGGGCGTGGGCATCCGCACCGAGCGCCGCTGGGCGCGTGCGCTCACGCTGGCGGCGCTGCGGCACCAGCTGGAGCGCATGACGGGCATTCCACCTGAGGCGCAGTCGCTCGAGCTGTGGCCAGCCGGGACGACAGACGAGTCGCGCGCGTCCGCCGTCGCGACGGACGCGGGTCTCACGCCTGACGCGCCGATCTGGGACGTGTGGCGCGCGCACGACGGGATGGTCGTGTGTGTGCGTGACCGGCGGGGCCGGACGATGCCGGACGAGGCGGACGTCGCCAAGTGGGAGCTCACGGACGAGCAGTACGCGGCGCGCCCCGACACGCTGCGGTCGTTTCTGCAGGCGCGCCAGCTGGGACGCTATGCGCCGGCGGCGGCGGCGGCGGCGCCGAGCCTGCCGCCCGACATGGTGCCGGGTGCGCGGTGCATCGTCGATACGGGCGACCGCTTTGAGCGCCGCGGCACGGTCCGGTTCGCAGGCGCGACGCAGTTCGCGCCTGGCGTGTGGGTCGGCGTCGAGCTCGATGAGCCCGTGGGCAAGAACGACGGGAGCGTAAAAGGCGTGCGCTACTTTTCGGCACGCATGCACTACGGCACCATGGTCCGGCCGGCGCATGTGCGCGTCGGCGACGTGGCCGAAGAGGACCTGGACGTGGAACTGTAGCCTATATAGGCGGCACATCGAGCGCGTCTGGCTGCGGCGTCGGCGGGTGCGACGCATACGTCGAGGTGCGCACCGACTCTTCGAGAACGAGCGCGCGGTCCGCGACCATCTCGCTCGTGTCGAGCGTGCTGGCGAGGCGGCCCATCACGTCCGTCACGAGCGCTGGGACCTGGCGGTGCGCGTCCGCCGCCATCCGGCTGACCGCCTGCATCACGCGCTCCGCGAACGCGCGGCCCGTCGCGCGGTGCGCGGCGGACCCTGACGCCTGGGCCATCGCACACACCGCGTCCAGCGCCGGCACGCGACGGAGCACGTCCAGCGCGTCGGCCGCGTCGGCCGCCGGTGCCGGCGGCGCAAAGAGCTGGCGCACCGCGTCGAGCGGCAGCGACATGCTGTGCAGCAGTGCATCGCCCTCGGGCAGCAGCGCGCCCACGAGCACGAGCGCATACAGGCACAAGTCCAGCGGCGCATCGGCCATCGAGGCACTGGACACGTCTGCACTGCTCGCCGCGTCGCGCTGCGCGAGCTGCGTCTCGAGCTCCTCGATGCGGTCCTCCAGCTGCGCAATCACGTTGCCGCCGAGCCCACTCGCGCCAGCACGCGCGAGGCCCTCGGCCATATCGCCAATGTGCTCCTCGACCTGGCTCAGGAGCTGCGCAGCGTCTTCGCCAGTCTCCTCCCTCGCTTCTGCGCGCCGCGGCACCGACGACGCCTTGATCTGATCGAGCAGCCCGTCCATCTCCTCGCGCCCATCGGCCTTGCCCAGCACGCGCATGCAAAAGTGGTGCTGCTGCTCCAGCCGCGCGCACAGGGCCCGCCACTCGGCCCTCCATGTGTCGACCAGCTGCCGCTCACGCTCGCTGGCCTCCCGCTCCGACGCGGCCCGCACACGCAGCTGCTCGAACGCCGCGCGCGCCTGCTCTGCCGCCCGGCGGTGTCGGTCCACCTCCATCTCCAGGAACCGGAACCGACTCCCGCCCCATGCACGGGCGGCGCGCGCGTGGGTGGGCGTCTCGGCCACATCCACATAGAGCTCCGGCCGCTCCATACGGTGCGGCGTCATCGGCACCTCGGGCGGTGTCGGCGGACCGAGGGGCGTGTGAGGCACCTCATTCGAATCGGGCGAGAGCGTGTCAGACGATGGCCCTTCGACCGGTGCCTCGGACGGGGGCGCCTCGGTCGCCAGCGCTTCCAACGGGGGCTCCCGCACGACCGGCACGTCCGGCTGGCTAGCCACGGGCGCTTCCATCGGAGGCTCCCGCACGATCGGCACGTCCGGCTGGCTGGCCACGGGCACTTCCATCGGAGGCTCCTGCACGATCGGCACGTCCTGGCTTGGGGCGGCGGGCGCGTCCATCGGGGGCTCCTGCACGATTGGCACGTCCTGGCTTGGGGCGGCGGGCGCTTCCACCAGGGGCTCCTGCGTGACAGTCACATCCTGCCGGCTGTCGGCGGCGGGCGCTTCCACCGGGGGCTCCTGCGTGATAGTCACATCCTGCTGGCTAGCCACGGGCGCTTCCATCGGGGGCTCCTGCACACCCGGCACGTCCGGTGCCGCAGGCTGGCTCACGGCCGAGCGGTACAGCATCATGACTTCTTCGAGGCGGTGCGCCACCATGTCCTTCTGCTTGCGCTCTGCATCGAGCTGTCCACGCAGCTGCTGGAGCGCTGCGGTCAGATCCGACTCGGCGCCGGCAGGCGCCGCTGGCACTCCGTCAACCGGGCTAGGCGGCTTGTCCGTCGAAAACATCCGCTGCAGTCGCTGCGAGAGTGTGCCCGGCGCCGCCTCGCGCGGCGACGACTCGGGCCCCACGGGCCGGCGCGACCAGTTGGTCTTGAGCAGGGGACTGCGCGTCACAGGTGTCTCTGCACTCGCGGCGGGCTGGGCCTCTGGCGCAGGCGTCTCGGTCGCCTGCGCCTCGGCCAGCGCGGCCTGGTGTGCCTCGTCCTGCTCGCGCAGCTCGTTGGTGTGCGCCTCGCGCTGCTGCGCCAGCTCCATCTCGGAGCTGTGGCGGATGTGCAAGAGCTGCTCATTCAGCTCTGCCTCGCGCACACGCAACGACGCATGCTCCGCCTCCAGGGCGGCAAGCGCCTCGCGATGGCCCGACTCGCTTGCCACGAGCGCCTGGCGGTGACTGGCCTCGAGCGCACCGAGTGACTCGCGATGTCGCACCTCGCTTGCCTCGAGTGCCTCGCGGTGTCGCGCGTCGCTTGCCTCGAGCGCTTCGCGCAGCTGCGCATCGCTTGCCTCGAGCGCCTCGCGGTATCGTGCCTCGCTTGCTTCGAGCGCCTGCTCGTGAGCTGCGGCCTGCTGCTGCAGTGCCTCGTGTGCGGCGTTGAGCGAAGCATGCTCCGCCTGGAGCGAACGGAGCTGCGATTCGGACGCATTGCGCTCGCTCTCCTGCCGCGTGCGCAGCTGCTCGAGGGCCGCCGCATGCCCGGCGCGCAGCTGCTCGAGGGCCGAGGCGTGCTCCGTGCGCAGCTTCTCTAGTGTCGTGGCATGCTCGGCGCTCTGCGCCTGGGCCGCCTGTAGCTCGTCCATAGCACGCGTCCGCTCCGTCTGTGCCGCCTGTAGCTCGTCCATAGCACGCGCCCGCTCCGTCTCGAGGGCCTGCACGATCCGCTCGTGTTCCTCGCCAGGTATCAGTGTGGACGGCCCCGGCATGTGGGCCCCGTCCAGATCGCGCTGCGCCAGTCGCTCGGCCACTTCGAGGTTTTCCTCACACAGGCGGCTGAGGCGGTGCCGCAGCGCTGTCTGCCGCTCGTTGTTGCTCGTCAGCTGCACCGTAAGCCTGCGGCGCCGCTGCTCCAGTTGCTCGACTTCGTCGAGCAGGTGCGAGAGGTCCGTGGTGTCACCCACGCTCGCCCCTGACGCGGGGCTGGGGCTGCCCCAGCCCATGTTGTCGCTGGGGGTGTGGGCCCTCAAGCGCTCCGTCCACGAAGGCAAGCGCATGGGCGTGGATGGCGTGTGGGGAAACCTGGACGGCGAGGGCGAGAGCCGCGTAAGGCCAAGCGCATCGGCCAACTGACTCGTGCTCGCCGAGGGGCGTGGGGCGTGCTGCGTAGGCAGATGGTCGCGCAGCACTGCGATATGATGCGCGAGGAGCTGCTGCTGGATGTCGTGGCGTGCATTCGACACCTGGAGGAGCTGCAGGGTAGCCTCGTCGGTGCGCTGCATCGCCTCGGCCATGTGTACGGACTTGTGCCGAGGCTGCGGCGAGATGTGGATCATCGAGGACTGCACGCTCTGCGCCGCGTGGCGCATCTTCTTTTCGAGGGCGATGCGCTCCTGCAAGTCGATCATGCGCTCTTCAAGCTGCGCCTTCTTGCGCCGGAGCTCGCCGACCTGCTCCAGCGCAAGGGCATTGTATCGCTCTGTTTCCAGGAGCGAGTAGGTGATGAGAAGGTCGTCTAGGAGGATCTGCGTGTCGTCCCCGATCGCCGACGCGAAAGATACGTCGAGCGATGGGAGCTGCGCTCTCGCGTGGCCATCGCTGCGTGGACGCAGCGACGAGCTCGCCAGGGACGGCGCGTACGGGCTCGTCATCGGCCCACGCGACGCTACGCCTGGCCGGGGGAGGGCCAGTGCCGCGCGCCTCGCCTTGCATACGCGCAGCATCACGTGGTGCCACGTGGTGCGACGGGGGCGCCAGGGCAGGGGCCTGCGACGCCGGGGCCGGGCAGCTCGGAAACGACGAGGATGAGTCCGGGCTCGCTGTTCGGTCCGCTACGCGGACTGGATGCGTTTGGACGTGTACGTGTGATTTCTAACATCAGACCACGGACGATGTGCGCATACGCACGAACGTCGGCGCCTTCCTCACGCTGCTAAGTGCACTGGTCATTGCCGTGCTCGTGGTGACCGAGTACATGGACTACCGGCGTGTGCAGACGTCGCCGCGGCTGGAGGTCGATCTGAGCCGTGGCGAGAAGCTGGCTGTCAAGCTGAACATCACGTTTCCGCGCGTCCCGTGCTACCTGCTCTCGCTGGACGTGGTCGATGTGGTCGGCGAGAACCAGCTGGACATCCACCACGACATTGAGCGGCGCCGCCTGGACCGCAATGGCCGGCGCATCTCGCACGAAGTGGAAAAAGAGCTCGAGAGCGAGGCGGCGCGCATCGCGGCTGAGCGCGGCCCTGGCTACTGTGGAGAGTGCTACGGCGGCGAGGCGCCGGAGTCGGGCTGCTGCAACTCGTGTGAGGAGGTGCGTGAGGCGTACGCACGCCGAAACTGGTCGTTCGCGACGCCCGACGAAATTGAGCAGTGCCGCCAGGAGCACTGGTCCGAGCACATTCGTGAGCAAAACCACGAGGGATGCAACGTCGCCGGCGAGGTGCATGTGAACAAGGTGGTCGGCAACTTCCACCTGTCGCCCGGGCGCACCTTCCAGCACAACAGCATACATACGCACGACCTAGTGCCGTACCTGCAGGGCAGCGGCGACGAGGTACACCACTTTGGACACATCATCCACGAGTTTAGCTTCGGCGCCGTGGACGAGTTTGCCATGGCAAAGACGTCGCGTGCGCGCCGCCACGGCACGCTGAAGGAGCGCCTGGGCGTCAAGGATGCCCTGGCAGACACGCGCATGCACACGGAGGAGAGCAGCTTCATGTTCCAATACTTCCTCAAGGTCGTCCCGGTGGACGTCTACCGTTTGAACGGGTACCATGCCAAGACGTACCAGTACAGTGTCACGTCGTACGAGCGCGACCTCGGGTACGACCCGACGCTGCGGGCGGACCACCCTAGCGACGGCAGCGGGCACGTCATCAAAAGCGTCGAGGGCGTGCCAGGCGTCTTCTTCAACTACGAAATCTCGCCGCTGCGTGTTGTGCAGACCGAGTGGCGGCACTCGTTTTGGCACTTTGTGTCGAATCTGTGTGCGTTGGTGGGCGGCATTGTCACGATTGCAGGTCTCGTCGACGGCCTTATTTACCGCTCGCGGCGACAGTTTAACTGGAACGGCCCTTCGTATGGCGACGACACCGACGGTCTCGGGATGGATGCCAAGCTCCTGTAGACGTACTCTTCTATGGTCTACCTGTCGACCTCACCAAACACCAGGTCCATCGTACCGATGATGGCCACCATGTCCGGCAGATAGTGGTGGCGCGCGACAAAGTCAGCGCCCGCGAGGTGGCGGAAGCCAGGCGCCGAGATCGAGCAGCGGTACGGGCGGTTCGTGCCGTTCGACACGAGATACACGCCCATCTCGCCCTTCGGCGCCTCGATCGCGCTATACGTCTCGCCCGGCGGCACAGCGTAGCCCTCCGAAAACAGCTTAAAGTGGTGGATCAGACTCTCCATGCTGTCCTTCATCATCGCACGCGACGGCGGCGCAATTTTGTGGTCGTCCACCTTGATCTGGCCGGCCGGCATCTTGTTCAGGCACTGGTGGATGATGCGCAGCGACTGCCGGAACTCCTCGATACGGCAGATGAAGCGGTCGTAGCAGTCGCCGTTCTTGCCAACCGGCACGTCAAAGTCGACCTGGTCGTACGCATCGTACGGCGCCACCTTGCGGATGTCCCACGGGATGCCGCTGCCACGCAGCATCACACCGCTGAAGCCATAGTCGAGCGCCTCCTTCGCCGTGACCGTGCCGATACCGATCGTGCGCTCCTTCCACACACGGTTCGCCGTCACCAGCTCCTCAATCTCGTCAACACGGCCGCCAAACTGCGTGCACCAGTGGTAGATGTCGTCCAGCAGGCCCGGCGGCAGGTCGTACGTTACACCGCCAGGACGCACGTACGCAGCGTGCATACGCGCACCCGAGACACGCTCGTAAAACTCCATGATCTTCTCACGCTCCTCGAGGCCCCACACGAAGGGCGTCAGACCACCCACGTCCATGACGTGCGAGAGCACGGCCATGCAGTGGTTCGAGATACGAGTGAGCTCACCAAACATGGTGCGGATCCACTTGGCACGCTCTGGCACCTCAATGTTCAGCAGCTTCTCGACCGCGCGGGCGAAGCACAGCTCGTTCGTCATCATCGAACTGTAGTCGAGACGGTCAAAGTACGGCAGCGCCTGCGTGTACGTCTTGTACTCGATCAGCTTCTCCGTACCACGGTGCAGCAGGCCAACGTGCGGCTGGGGTCAGTACGCACCACGTACATCCACACGCAGAATCTCCTCGCCGTTCAGCTCCATGATCAGACGAAGCACACCGTGCGCGGCAGGGTGCTGCGGACCGAAATTCACCGTAAAGTGGCGCAGACGCGCATCCTGCGACGAGCCATCCTCACGCAGCAGCGTCGAGGCATCAAAGCCCTGCAGGTCCTCGACCGTCGTCGCCGAGAACGTCGGGTTCGGCTTCTCCGCCTCCGTCGCCAGAGTGCGCGCCAGCACGCGAGGAAGCGGAACACTCGAGCGCATAGCGCCACGCGCCGTACGCAGGCTCGCCGTGCGCAGAGTGCTCGGCAGCATCGAGACCATACTATGTCCAGCGATCAAAGGAAAGAGCGCCGCCGCGCGGTGCCCTCCCTCCCCGGCGCTCCGTTCCGCCTTCGGCCGAAAAGCCACGCGCACGTCGGCCGGTGGAGGTGACTCGGGTCTAGCTAGCTACGGCTACGCGCCCCTCGGCGTGCGGTCAAACTCGTCCAAAATCTCGTCGGTGGCCATGCGCATCTCGTTGGCCATGCGGTGCACCTCGGTGCCCGGCTGATTGTACATAAGCGCATTCGCAAACATGAGCGAGAGCGCCCACCGCAGCTCGAGTGACGATGCAATCTGCCCATCCTTGATGCGCTGCTTGATCACTTTGAGGTCGATCGGCTGCTTGATCAGCGAGTAGTAGTCGGGTGCGTCCACCTCCTTGATAGCTTGGTGGAAGAGGTTGGCATGCGTGTGGTTCGACACCTGGTTGTAGAGCATGAGCAGCAGCTGCGCCGTGCGCCGCCGGCTCTTGTCGCGCTCTGCCTCCGACACTGTACTCTCGGCGTCTGTGTCAACTGCCCGCGCTGTGCTGCGCCGTGCAAGACTTGACGACAGAGGCGGTGAAGACGGCGGTGTCGGTGAGTGGGACGGAGGGTCTTCCCGCGTCGTACGCGAGCGCGAGCGCCGTGATCGCCCTCGATACGTCGTGTGCGTCGCATGGGGTGTCCGTTCCGACTCGTCCGTCGCGGGCTCGGCCATGTCGCCCAGCAGGTCCTGCTCCACCTGCCGGTCGTCGTCCACGTCGGCGCGGTCCGAGGCAGGACCCGTGTCCGCCTCGGCCACCGCCTCTTCCGCTGGTGTCTCTGGGGCCGCGCTCGGCGCCGGCGCCGGCTGCGGCTCAGGGGCGGGGGGAAGCAGCGTTTGCTTCAGCTCCTCGTCGAGCGCGCCACTTTGAAGTCTGTCCATCCGCTGCTGAAGTGTGCTGTGTGTGAGCAGGTGCCACGTACTGAAAGGTCTGCTCCTTGTCTCGGAGCTGCTGCAGGAGAGCCTCGAGGCGAGCTGCATAGAGCTGCTGTACCAGGCCAAGCTGCGTCGCCGGATGCCGCATATACACACTATCGCCCTGCACTTGCGCAGGGAGCATGGCTTTCCATGCTTGCTCGCACGCCTCAGCGCTCGGTGCAGGGGCCGCCAATGGTGCGTCAGCCCCCGCGCCGTGCAGGCGCTGTAACTCGGTGCGCCACGGGAGGGCGCTCATGGCAGAAGAGACAGACGTCCAGTCTGGTTCCTTCGCGCCGCTTTGACATACAATTTGTGCCAGCAGCAGCTGCTCGGCCAGCGGCAGCGTAGCGGCGTCGCGCTCCATCGCGCGATTGGCGTAGTTGCTGGGTGGCCGACGAGGGACAGATCGATTCACGTGACGTGGAGCGCACCGAACCACCATGCCAATCGAGGCGGGGGGTCAGGCCGAGGACGATAGCAAGTATGACCGCAAGGACGAGGCATACTTCGGCTACTACTCGATGCTCACTCATCAGGCGCAGATGCTGCAGGACTCTGTGCGCACGTCTGCGTACCAGATGAGCATCATCCACCATGCGCCCACGCACTTTCAAGGTAGGTGCCTTTACTGACCGGCAGACAAGGTGGTGATGGACGTGGGCGCTGGTAACGGCATCCTCTCTCTCTTTGCGCTGCAGGCGGGTGCGCGGCTTGTCCACGCTGTCGAGGCGTCGAACATGGCCGACTGCCTGCGTCATATTGTGCAGACGGCTGCGAGCGGCGAGGACGCGCCGAATGCGTGGATCCAGGGGCGCCTCTCCGTCGTGCATGGTACGAATGTGTGACTTACAGCAGCGCGCGTGGAAGATGTAACGCCCAACATGCTGCTAGCTAGCACACCAAGCGGCGCATGGGCCGACGACGCACAGGTCGACACGATCGTGTCCGAGTGCCTAGGTGTGCTGCTGGTCCATGAGCGTATGTGTGAGACATTTATTGAAGCGCGTAACCGCTTCCTGCGTCCCGGCGGATCCGTGTTTCCGCGCACCGGCTCGCTGTGCTTCTCGCTCCTCAACGATACACGCCTGTGGCAGGAGGTCAAGGCCCGCGGCGACTGGTGGAACTCGACGAGCTTTTACGGCGTGGATCTCACGCCGTTCACCGCGGCTGCGCGCGCCGAGGCGTTCTCGAGCCCTGTCGTAGGCTGCTTCTCGCCTGTGCACGTCGTGGGCGCGGCAGCCGACGGTGGCAATGTCGACAGCGTCGTGTGTCGCTATGTGATTGATTTCCTTACGATCGAGATGGCCCATTTGCGTTCGTTCGATGTGCCGCTCGCATTTGACTGTGTGGACGAACCGGTCATTGTGCACGGCCTCGGCGCCTGGTTCGACCTATCGTTCCTGCAGCCGGAGGACGACGTCGACGCGCCAAGCGCTTTTCAGAACCTCATGACAACGAGCCCCTTTGCGCCGGCGACGCACTGGGCGCAGGTGCGCCTGCTGCTCGAGGAGCCGCTCGCGCTGAACCGCGGTCAGCGTGTTCTGGGCACACTGCACTTTGCCGTGAACGAGCACCGCTCGTACGACGTGCAAGCACATTTATATGTACCGCAGGCCGAAGGCACGGGGCTTACCGAGCCGCTCTACCGCCGCGACGCGCTCTGGAAACTCGACAAGCAGACCTACTCGTGGGAGACTCTGTAGATGTGGAGGTCGCTTCCGGCCTCGCGCCCGAAAATTTTCGCCATCATCGCTCCACCTCCGAGATGCGGAAGCAGCTGGATCCACGGATCCCTACGCTGATCCGGAACAACGTGGCCCGGGGCCACCGCTCGTTCTTTGTAGTTGTAGGGGACCATGGGCGTGACCAGGTCGTGAACCTGCACTTTTTGCTCTCGCAGTCGCGCGTTGAGTCGCGGCCTAACGTGCTGTGGTGCTACAAGAAGGACCTTGGATTCACAACGCACCGCAAGAAGCGCGAGGCCAAGATCAAGCGTGACATCAAGCGCGGCGTGCGTGACCAGGACTCACAGGATCCGTTCGAGCTGTTTGTCGGTGTGACGGACATTCGTTACTGCTACTACAAAGAGACGCCGAAGATCCTCGGTCGTACATTCGGTATGCTGGTTCTGCAGGACTTTGAGGCGCTTACGCCCAATCTGCTCGCACGCACGATCGAGACTGTAGAGGGTGGTGGTATCGTTGTGCTCCTGCTGCAAACCATGTCTAGCCTGCGCCAGCTGTACTCGCTCTCGATGGATGCGCACCGCCGCTACCACTCTGCATCAACGAACGAGGAGCCGGTGGCACGCTTCAACGAGCGTTTCCTGCTATCCCTGAGCCGATGCTCCGACTGCCTCCTGCTCGACGACGAGCTGAACGTGCTACCTGTTAGCGCAGGCCGCGATATCCGCCCCCTGCCCGAGACTCAGAGCTCCCAGAGCACGGGCGGCGTCGGAGCCACTGTGCAGCGCGACGAAGCATGGCGTGCACGCGAGAAAAAGCTCGCAGATCTGCGCGCGGACGTGGCCGAGACGAAGGTCGTGGGCGACGTCATTCGCCATGCCAAGACGCTCGACCAGGCCACTGCCGTGCTGACCATCCTCGACGTGCTGGCCAGCTCCTCGCTCTCGACCACTGTCACACTCACCGCCGGGCGTGGACGCGGCAAGTCAGCCGCGCTGGGCCTGGCACTCGCGGCGGCCATCGCCCACGGGTACAGCAACATATTTGTCACATCGCCGAGCCCTGAAAACCTAAAGACGCTCTTTGAATTTGTGCTCAAAGGCCTCGATGCGCTCGGTTACGAGGAGGTCGCCGACTGGGACCTGCTGCGTGGCACGGGTGAGTGGAAGGACACGATCGTACGCATCAACGTTTTCCGCGCGCACCGCCAGACCATCCAGTACATCCAGCCGCAGGACCACGCCGTGCTGACACAGGCCGAACTTGTGGTCATTGACGAGGCAGCGGCCATTCCGCTCCCGCTCGTCCGCCAGCTGATGGGCCCCTACCTCGTGTTCCTCTCGTCGACCGTGAATGGGTACGAGGGCACTGGTCGCAGTCTCTCGCTCAAGCTGATCCAGCAGCTGCGTTCCGGCGCGAGTGCCGGCGGCGGCCGCGCGCTCAAGGAGGTCGAGCTTACCGAGCCGATTCGGTATACGCCCGGCGACCAAGTCGAGGCGTGGCTGAATGCCCTGCTGTGCCTCGATGCGTCACTGGCCAAGCTGCCGACGGACGCGCGCGACGGGTGCCCGCACCCCTCGTCGTGTGATCTGTACCTGGTGAACCGCGACTCGCTCTTCAGTTTCCACCCAGCTTCTGAGTTGTTCCTGCAGCGCGTCATGGCGTTGTACGTGGCGGGGCACTACAAAAATTCGCCCAACGATCTGCAGCTGCTCAGTGATGCACCGGCACACGCCCTGTTTGTGCTCCTGCCGCCACTCCGTGGCCAGAGTCTACCTGAGCCTCTTTGTGTGGTGCAGGTGGCTCTCGAAGGCAATATCAGTCGGCCGGCCATCCTCCGGAGTCTCGCGCGTGGCACGCGGGAGGCAGGCGATTTGGTGCCGTGGCTCATCACGCAGCAGTTCCAGGACGCCGACTTTGCATCACTGTCGGGTGCACGCATTGTGCGGATTGCTGTGCACCCCGAGTACATGCGCATGGGCTATGGTGCGCGTGCGCTTTCGCAGCTCGAGGCATTTTACGGCGGCCAACTGCTGGACCCTGATGCACTTGCACAGAAGCAGGAACGGGACGCGGCGCGCCCGGCGCTGGTGCGTGGCGAGCTGGGTGAACGCAGTGCGGCGTCGCTTCCGCCGCTGCTGGAGCGCCTGTCGGAGCGCGAGCCAGAGTCCCTCGACTGGCTGGGTGTATCGTATGGCCTGACCCCTGAACTGTTCCGTTTCTGGAAGCACAGTGGGTACACGCCGCTGTATGTGCGGCAAGCGGCGAACGAGCTAACGGGCGAGTACTCGGCGGTTCAGCTCAAAACGCTACATGGTCAGCACGCGTGGCTCGCTGCGTTTGCGAGTGATTTCCGCCGGCGCTTCTGCACACTGCTCTCGTTCCGCTTCCGCGAGCTGCGCACACTCACTGCGCTCAGTGTGCTGGATGCGGCCGGCCAGGCGGCTGCACCGGATACGCGCGCACTCACACGGGCTGAACTGTCATGGCTGCTGACGCCGTTCGATATGAAACGCCTCGAGTCATACGGGAACCACCTGCTGGAGCTGCAGGTCGTGGTCGATTTGCTACCGGCACTTGCGCAGCTGTACTTTGGTGGCCGCCTGCGCTCCCTCGGCGAGGGCGATACCGAGGCGGGCCAGGCACTGACGGTCAGTGGTCTCTCCGCTGCACTGCTGCTCGCCATTGGTCTACAACGCCGCACGATCGACGATGCTGCCACGGAGCTGAACCTGCCGCTGAATCAGGCACACACCCTGCTTGGCAAGGCGGTGCGGCACCTCGTGCAGAACCTGCGCGCCCTCGAGAAGCAGGCGCTTGCTGGCGAGGTCGAAGCGGAGGCGCAGAATGGCCCAGTAGCGCCTGCGCTGCAGCCGCTTGCGGAGAACCTCGAGGACGAGTTGGCCGAGGCAGGACGCGCGGCAGTCGCTCGCAACGACGACGACGACGAAGTTGCGGCTGCACGGCGCGCGCTAGCTGAGGACCTGGCGAACGATGCGGAAATGTCGCAGTACGTGATGGACGACGAGGACGCCGAGCAGTTTGCCGAGGCCGAGGAGCGTGTGCGCAAGATGCAGGCGGATCAGAGCGGTCGGCCGTTTTCGTCCACGTTCAGCGTTCGCACGAAGCGTGCACGCGAGGCCCAAAATGCTGCGCCAGCGCCCACCAAGCGCACCAAGACGCCAGCGGCGCGGGCCCATGGCGGGCGCCCAAAGGGCCGCGGACCCAAGTAGACCATAACCCCATACCCACTCGGCCGATGCGCCCTGACTTCCTGGATCATGGCGTCGCCAGGCGCGGAGAGCGCCGCGTCGTCGGAGGCAGATGGCACCGCGGACGAGCTGCTGGAGCGCCTGATGCAGTGTGACGAGCAGCTCGTGCAGCTATTGCGCACGGCGTCAACGACGGTATCGACGCTGGCGGCGGCCGAGGCGCCGCCTGCGGCAGCGACGCCGGACTCGCTCCTCAAGCAGTGGTTTGCCACATTGCATGTGCGTAAACATTTGCTGACGCAGGATATACAGCTGACATTACGTCAAGCTGCTCATACGCTGCGGCAGGCGCGCCTGCCGCCGGTCCTGCCGCCGGCCGCAGCGCAGGCACGGCTGCAAGGCGAGGCGGGTGTGGCCGGCCAGGCACACACGCTGGATTCGTCCATGCCCTATAGCCTGTCTACACTGCGTCTGCGGGAGGAGGCATGGCGGCACCTCGCCGAGGCATTCGCGCATGAGCCAGCGTCGGAGGCCCCGCTGGTCGCGCGGCTGCGCCGCGGCGCCGCGCTGGACGAGGCGCCGGATTTCCGTAAGCCACGTGGCAACCAGTAACCCCGCGGCGGCCGGGAACGGACGGGCCATCTTTTGCCACCATGTCGAACGCGCTGGAATCGCTGAAGCAGTACACGACCGTCGTCTCGGACTCTGGCGACTTTGAGTCGATTGCAGCATACAAGCCACAAGATGCGACGACGAACCCGTCGCTGATCCTCGCGGCGGTGAAGGAAGAGAAGTACGCCAAGATGATTCCCCCGGCGGTCGACTACGCCAAGAAGCAGGGCGGCAGCACTGAGGAGGTGCTGGACCGCGCTGTGGACCGTCTGATTGTCTCGTTTGGCGAGGAGCTTCTCAAGATCATTCCCGGCCGCGTGTCGACTGAGGTTGATGCGCTCCTGTCGTTCGACAAGGACGCGACGGTGAAGAAGGCCCTGGATCTCATTGCGCTGTACGACTCGCAGGGGATCAGCAAGGACCGCGTGCTGATCAAGATCGCGTCGACCTGGGAGGGTATCCAGGCGGCCCGTGAGCTCGAGTCGGAGCACGGCGTGCACTGCAACCTGACGCTCCTGTTCAGCATGTGCCAGGCGGTGGCGTGTGCCGAGGCGGGCGTCACGCTCATCTCGCCGTTCGTGGGCCGCATCCTCGACTGGTTCAAGAAGAACAAGCCCGACGGTGACTACGAGGGTGTGAACGACCCTGGTGTCGCGTCGGTGCGTCAGATCTACCAGTACTACAAGCAGCACGGTTACAACACGATTGTGATGGGTGCGTCGTTCCGCAACACGAGTGAGATTGTCGAACTTGCGGGCTGCGACTACCTGACCATTGCACCCAAGCTCCTTGAGTCGCTGAAGGGCGACACGCACGCGCTCGAGCGCAAGCTGTCGCCGGAGCTTGCCAAGCGTGCCGAGCCGCTTGAGAAAATCTCGTACATTGAGAACGAGCCGAAGTTCCGCTGGGATCTCCTGCAGGATGCCATGGCCTTTGAGAAGCTGCACGAGGGTATCCGCAAGTTCGCAGAGGACGCTGTGACGCTCAAGTCTATCCTGTCTAAGCACCTGTAGGCTACGTAGACTACCGCGCTGGTCCCTTGGCTGGTGCACGCGGCGGCGTCACGCCTGGCTGTGCATGAGGCGACGGGCCTGCATTCAACTCTGCCGGGTCGAGTGGGTCGCCCGCCATAGCGCGTCGCTCAGGCGGCGCACCAAACGCACGGAAGCTCTGCTCATGTTGCTCGCGCTGCATCGCGCGGAACTGGTTCTCGCGCCACCACCATGCGCGCGCATGCGACACGAGGCGGCTATCCGGCTTGCGCGTTGGTGTGTGGCTGACTGATGTGTGCGATTCGTCGACAGAGAGGCCAATGCGCCGCATGCGCGACAGGAGCCGCAGGCCGCCGACGGTGACGACAGCCGCCATGATATAGGCAACCACACTCATCACGTAAAAAGCATGGGGATGCTCCTCGAGGTGCGACGTCAAGTTCATACCGAATAGACCGACAAACAGCGTAGCTGCACTCACACCCAGGGTCATGATGCTGGTCCCGAGGTCGAGAGTCAGCAGCTTATTGCGGTTGCTGTCGAGAATGAGCTCGACAATCTCCTGTGTATTGTTGACATTGGCGTAGATCTGCTCGATCTCAGCAATGACCTCCTCGACCTGCTTCTCAAAGCTCTCCAGCAGAAGCTCGAGCTCCTCCAGGTCGCTAGACTCGGTGCGTGGGCGGCCGAGCTTGGCGTCCGTCAGGTACATGAGCGCCATGTCCTCGTCGTTCTCAAGCACCTCGGTGACGGAGACCTTGACACCGCGCGAGCGGCTCAAGAAGTTATTCAGTTTGCGCGAGATTTGCAGGAGCATGCGCAGTTTCTCGCGGTCGATGTCGTCCTCGAGTGCCTCGAGCAGGTCGTCCACGACAATTCGCAGCCAGCTGAGCTCGGAGCGAAGCGCCTCCAGAACAGACGCAAGGATCGACTCCAGTGCGCGAAACTCGTAAGGAAGCGACGACGTATTCAGCCGCAAGTTGTGCTCGAGATTGTACACGAACGCCGAGTGCAGGTGCGTGTCGGCTGTACTGTAGCTGTCGAAGAGAAGCACGGCATCCGACTTGACCATCGCGCGGATATGCAGAATATTGATCAGAATACCACTCCGGCGCGCGAGGATCGTCGGCACCAGGTTCGGCACGCGCGAATCAATCTTGCGCAGGTCGCGCGGCTCGAGCCCGTGGTGCGAGCAAAGCTCTGATTTTTTGAACACGCCCGAAATTGTCTTGATCGATCCAGCTGAGTCTAGGATCGTACAGCGCAGTAATATGTTCGGAGAGAGCTGCGTCATGCCGATGCCTCCTATCGGACGCGCCCCGCCGGCCCCTTTGGGGCCGTCGTCTGTGGCCATGGATCGTGCGCCCCAGAACGGCACCCTGGGCGCGCAGAATGTCAATCTTCTCTGGATAGGAATTCCGATGCATGCATACGATATAGGCGGACCCCGCACCCGCGCCAGGGCAGCCGTGGCGCTCAGGGACGCCCGCCACCTCATGGTCGCCGCCACGATCTGGGTGCGTTCAGGTGGAGGTTTCGTTCCTGCCGCGATGCCAGGCTCTGACCCCCAGGGCATTGCGTGGGTGTGTGCGGACGCGCGCCTTGGGCGCGAGGCTGCGAAAGCCGCAGCAGCGCAGATGGTGGCTAGCATCACGGGCTTGGTGCCACAGGACGTGCTCGCCGCATGGAACCAGGCGCAAGGCACGCCATGGACGATCCAGACTCCCTACTACGAGTCAGTTGTAGCGCACTATTTTGCCGAGAAGGCGGACCTGCTACCTTCTACCCCTGCCGTGGTCCTTCTCGTACACCGCGACTCGCCGCTGCAGGAGCATAAACAGAGGGTTCAGGCGCAAGAGGGCTTTGATGTGCCGATCGCGCTCGTTGTAGGCATGGGCAATGACACCGCGTCGGGCGCCCCGCAGGGTGATATTGACGAGACATATGCGGTGCATGGATGGGAGTACGTTGAGGCGAGGGACGAGGATGCCTTGACACGTGTTCGCGAGGCTCTTATGGTGCATCAGTGGCCCAACGCAGTGCCTGCCGAGTCGGAGGCCATACCGCCAGGAGTACGTGCTCTTGCGCAGCTGCCTGATGCAGAGCGGCCTTGGCCCGCGGCACCCGCTGCCATGCAAAAGGATCTGGACGCCTTTCTTGAGGCGGACGACGAGTTCGGCACGTTTGTGAGCGCCGAGGGCCCAGCAGACAGCGATATCGATTCACTCTATCCACATCAACTCCATTCGCTGCAAAACCTTATTGACCACGTCAAATCACTACCACCTGGCCCGGCCCGACGAGACGCCGCGGCACATGTCGCCATGGAAGTCGAGCGCGCCTTGGCATCATCATAAGAGCCGGGCTCTTTTCCTTTTTTTTTTTTTTTTGTCTTTTTTATTACACACACAAACCGGGTACATGGTCCACGAGCATACGGTCGAGTGTCTTGCCGACATGATCTTCGTCGTCAGACACATCGTCCGCATTTGCGTAGGCCTCGGCACGCATCGCCTGCAGATGCTGGCGCCATGCCGAGTCCGAGACAGACAGGTGGAACTGGGTGCGGCACAGGAAAAAGGCCTCCATCCGGTTCAGCTCATCGAGAGGGATGCCAGTCACCTCGTGCCATGTTTTGTTCAGGAATGTATTGTCGTCCAAAAACTTGTTTGCCATCATGAGCCCCAGCGTCAGCAGCTTGAATGGCGCTGTGGGCGGTGGCTGTGCGAGCAAGGCCAGTGCCACTTCGGTGTCAGCGCTGCCGGCATCCGACCATAGCATGCCCTGAAGCATGTGCACATAGTGCAAGGCAAGGCACAGCGTTGTCGGCGACAGCCGTGTTTGCACGAGCACCTGCTGCGTAAAGTGCCGGAACGCGGGGCTCACCTCGCCCAGCAGAGCCGAGTGCTCGCGCTTTAGCCCGGGCCGAGCGCGACGCTTCGGCGTCTCGGGCGCATGCAGACCAGCACACTGCTCGAGCGATGGGAACGGCCGCTGCTGCAGCGATCCCATCGCCCGCACAAGGCGCTGCAGGTCCGCCGATAGAGCCGTATAGGGCGACGATAGGTGCAGTGCACCCATCGGCTCGGTCAGCTCCTTGTCCTCCAACAAGGGCACAAGCGCTGGTGGCGTCACTGGCTCGCTCACACTCGACGAGCTCATCGATACGCACTCCTCCAGGTGCGGCTCAGGCGACTCGGAGCGCACCTCGCGCCCAGGCGAGAGACGTGCGCCGCTCCGTGTAGACACACGGCGCAGACCGACCATCTCGGCACAGGCCCTCCAAACGGCATCCGCACAGAAACGGGAGAGGAAAACGGCCGTCACCTCGGGCGCCACGCGCGCGCGGTCCGCGTCTGACGCCTCGAACTGGGGCGTCGGGCCAGGCACGGCGTGCATGGAGGAAGCTGCAGCCGCCGGTGGGACCGGCTCGTGCATGTTATATGCGCGCGGATCATAATGCACCGGCGGCGGGCCATAGGCCATCGTCGGCATAGGGGGCGGTGGTCCCCATACGGGCCACGGCACCATACCGGGCCAGTGTGGCACATACGGGGGGTACGCCGAGGACACCGGTGGCCACGAGGGCATGGGCACCGGTGCGCCCATCGACAGGCTGCACCAGGCCTCAGGGTGCATCGGCTCCATGAGGGCCATGCCTGGCACAGGGTGCGGCCGCGCCGCCGGGAGGCGGGGGGCCGGTGGGGGTGCACAGACGTACACGGGCCGGCCGTAGGCATCCAACGCGGACGCTGGTGCATCGTACGGGCCGCCTGCCACCACAGGTTCAGAGCGGACCACGAACGGGTGCTCCATAGAAGTGGCCATCATGACACCAAGAAGGCTGTCGGGTCAGTTGGTTAGACGGTCCGCCACGGAGGAGCAAGCACTTAGTCTACACCAAGCGTGCTCACGTGGGAATCCAGACGCCACACTACCCTTGCTCTTGGTGAGTTGTGGCACTTCAATACGAAGGCAAGAGAGGGTGGGGAGGGGGAAGGGGGGTTGCGGAGAAGCCGGGACGACGTAGGGGGGCGAGATGCATCGATTAGGCGGGGCGGCGAAAGAAAACGAGATTCTCGGCCGACAAGGCGAGAGAGCCGTCGGTTCCCTGCTGCTGGATCAGACGCGCGACGCGGGCGATGAGCCACGCGGAGCACATCCGCGATGTCTATGTGTACTTTTTGCGCACGGGCATCGCCAATGATGGGCTCGCGCATGGCTGTGAGTATACGCGCCATGCACCTGTGCGCGCGCCGTGGGACGAGCCTGATGCACCGCAGCACAGCGGCGAACGCTCCGAGGCGCCGATGGATCGCTACGGCTTCTTCGACGCCTCGGCGACGATGGCACGCGGCGCGCCTGCGGTCCTTCCTGCGTCAGCGTATGTGAAGCGAGGCCTACGGCACCCGGTCGCGCGCACACCAGCGCCGCTGGGACGGCGCAGGATGCAGCGCCCGCCAAAGGCTGCTACCGTGCAGCGGCAGCGCGACGCCCTCACACGCACCGCAGATGCTCGCGAAAGGCGGCGCATACACAAGTGGATGCACATGCTGCAGGGAGAAGAGTTCCACGAAACATTGCGTGCGCATGTGGCGCCGGCGCTTGTCGAGCGCCGCATATTCAAAGGCGTGCCCGACGACATGCGGGGACAGGTATGGGACGTGCTCTCACGCGCGCACGGCACGCGGGACGTGCCGGCACCGCATGATATGCTCGAGCATGCTTCGCCGCATGATGGGCAGATCGACTTGGATGTGCCACGCACGGTCCGTGGCCACACGCGGTTTTTCACGCGGTACGGGCGTGGGCAGTGCGAGTTATTCAGCGTGCTGCACGCACTCAGTCTCCTGTGCACGGAGTGCGGATACTGCCAGGGCATGGGCCCCGTCGCAGCCACGCTCCTGTTGCACGCGCCTGCAGCGCAGGTCCTGGCACTTCTCGTGCGCATGCACGATGCGTATGGCTTTCACGACATATGGCGGCTTGGGTTTCCCGGGCTACGCGCCGAGTTCTTTGCGCTGCGAGAACTGCAGCGGGCATTCACGCCGCGCGCGTCGCGGGCACTGGAGGCGGCCGGCCTCGCACCCAGTGCGTACGCGACAGGGTGGCTCATGACGCTCTTCTCGGGCGTGCTCCCATACGCAACACACTTGCGTGTGCTCGACATGTTCTTCCATGGAGGACGCAACGTGCTCCTACTCGTCGCCGTGGCCATGGTGCGCGTGCTCGACGTGCGCCTCGCGCACGACGCGCACCTCGACCTGCTCGAGGAGCTCAGCCGGCCTATGCTGCCGGAAGACGACGACGCCCTGTGCCTCTGGGTACAGCGCGCAATGCATGCGGCGGACGTGCAGGCCTGTCTGTCGCGTGCACGCGCCGCATGGGCGGCCCTTGTAGACCACGGCACCGACGCCGCGGAATTTGTGTAGGAGCCTCCACCCACCATGTCCGTGGCGCCTCCTGCGCCAGGCTCACCTGGTGCGCCGGCAGCTGCGCGCGCGCAGCTCTCGGCCATGTGCCGGCGCGGTACGTCAATGTGACTGACCGCAGTGATCCTGCGCAACCTTGCGAGTGCGTGTGATGTGCTGACATGCAGCGCTCTACGATGTGGGCGACATGCCCTACCGCCTCGCGCGCCCGTTCCTGCAGCAGTGCAGGCCGGAGCAGCTGCGCATGCTGGAGGAGGCCTCGCCGGTACGCTGTGTATGCTGACGCAGCACCTCCTGGAGGACACAGACGGTGCGTGTGGCAGCTAACACACAGAGCTGTGGCGGCGTGCATGCCTCCGTGACTTTGCTGACCTGCGCAAGCTCGACGAGGAGGGGCGCCTGGACGCGCCGCCGGTGTGGCGCGACCTGTACCAGACCAGGCAGCAGCAGGCTGAGGAGGCCAAGGCGCTTGCGACCGCGCGCATCAAAGGTCGCTACGCAGAGCACAGCGCACTGAAGAATGCCAAGAAACTTATCGTAACAGATGTACCCATACCCTCGCAGCGGCGCCGCCCGCGGCCTGTGGACCGCACGCCTGCCACAGCGCTGCAGTCGCAGGGCCGTGCCATGCTCCTCAAGGCTCGCACGGGCCTCGCGATGCGTGCGCGACAAATGATGCGGCCACCCCGCCACCAGCCCGCCGCGCGCGCCGCCGCCCCCTCTCTCGCTTCACGAAAGCCAGCGCCTCCGCCGCGCTCGGCGCCGCCGCCGCCGCCGCCGCGGGGCGGCGGTAGTGCCACGTGACAGTGCGCCGCCGCCTATACTCTCGCCGCGACGGCGCCCAAGGCGCGGCATGTCGTTTAATTTTACGTGGCCGACCTTCTCCGCAGAGTTCTACAGCAATGCTATCCATACACTCACAACGGCGCTGAACCGTGGGCAGAAACCCAAGGCCATTGTGGGTGATATCGTCGTGCAGGAGCTGCATATGGGGACGGTGCCGCCCGAGCTCGAGATCCTCGAGATCGGCGACCTGAGCAGGGACCGCTTCCGCGGCATCTTCCGCTTTGTATATGCGGGCGACGCGCACCTGGAGCTGTCGACAGGCGTGCAAGCGAACCCCCTGGCCCGCAGCAGCGAGTCGCTGGGCCTGCTGGCGGGCCCTGCGGCGTCACGCGGCATGCTCTTTGCCGCGAGCCCCCTCACTGTGCCGATGCGTGTGCGCCTCTCTGACGTCAAGCTGCGCGCGATTGTGGTGCTTGTCGTCTCACGCACCAAGGGCATCACGCTTGTGTTCAAGAACGACCCACTCGAGAGTGTCCGCGTCAGCTCGACGTTCGACAGTGTCGGTGTGATCCAGAAGTACCTCCAGGAAGAGATTGAGGGCCAGCTGCGCGAAATGTTCCGCGAGGACCTGCCAGGCATCATTCACCGGCTCAGCCAGGACTGGCTGCGCACCGAGACGGCGGAGCGCGCGTCGCCAGCGCCGCCACCGAGGCCGACGACCGACGCGCCGCCGCCGCCTGACCGGCCCGCCACGCCGCCGCTCGTGCGGGAGCCATGGTCCATGGATGACAGCGCCGAGACGCCGCTCTCGGTGCTGGCGCTGGAGAATGCGGCGCCCCAGAGTGGCGCGCCTGGCCTCACGCGCCTGGCGTCGACGCACGGCTCGTCGCGCGGGCTCAAGGACCTCGTCGAGCCACGCACCCAGAGTCCCACACGCGCGCGCACCTTTCACACGACGAGCCGCGTGCGTGCGCCTATGTCGCTCTCGACCAGCACGCCGCCTCCGCCGGCGCCGCCGGCGCCCAGCAGGGGCCTCGACGTGTCGAGTCACCTGGCGGAGCTGCTGCGGGCGAACCACACGCTGAGCCCGTACACACCGAACCCGCGGCTCGTGGCACTACGTACGACGCCGCCCACGTCGCGGCAGCGCAGTGGGCGGGCCGTCGCGCGGCAGACGCGCGTGTTCCATGCCCACTATCTGCAGTAAGCCTCGTCGAGGATGGGCGGGCGCACCCGCAAACGCGCCGCGGCCGCATGCACGGCCTCGCGCGAGATGTGCAGTACGCCGTCGTCTGCCATGAGCAGCCCGGCCTGCGCGAGAGCGAGCGTTGCATCGTCGGGGCGCAGCCCGGCCGCCGCCGCGAGGCGCGCCAGCGTGGTGCGGGGCGGCAGCGGCACCGTTGCGCCGGACGCCGCAGGACGCTCGATGCGCACCTCGCCGGCCCAGCCGCGCGCCGCCGTGCGCCGGCGCACGGGGCTCGAGTCTGTGCTGCTTCTCGTGGCGGCGGCATCGCCCGCGAGCACCGCCCGTATCGCGTCTCCGCCGGGCTCCCAGGCTGCCTGCAGGGTGCGCACGAGCTGCGCGGACCAAAACGCCATATACCCCTTGAGCCCCAGCTCCGAGAGCGGGCGCTCCGGCGTGCCGGCCACGGCCGCCGAGCGCGACAGGTAGTAGCTGTACTCCATGAGCAGTGTGCCGTAGCCCTTGCGCTGGTACGGCGGAAACACGACGATGCACGCTAGGTTAAAGTCGTCGTACGATACCTTCTCTTTCGAGAAGAAGCCCAGCGCATGGTCAAACTGGCTCGTCGCATCGGTGAGCACGTAGACAAAAAACGGAGCGACGTCGAAGAACACGGTCTTGTGGTCGATAAACAGCTTGCCAAAGAGGCACACATTCTGCACATACAGCTTGGCCTCCGCGCCATCGACCTCCCAGAGGATGTGCGCGCCCCGCTGGTACACGCGGCGCCCGGGCGGATGGGTATAGGTGCACGCCTTGCGGTGCGCATGGTACGTCGCCGCCGAGCGCATGTACTTGAAGCAGCCCGCACACACCCACAGCGTCGTCGCATCTATGGGGTACGGACTCGCATACCACGGGCGGATCGCATAGTCGTCAAAGAGAACCCTGCTGGTGAGCGAGGCGCCACCTACCGCTCCAGCGCGCGGCCGACCCCCGGCTCGTCGTAGGCCATGCGTGGCGGTGGAGGCCCACGCACCGCCGCTTCGCCGCCGCCCGCATGAGCGACGCGTTTCCGAACCCGTTTGACCCGCCGCCTGCTGCCGAGGCGCCGCCAGTGACGGAAGATGAACTGAGTCGTGTGCTGCGCGAGTCGCTTGCATTCGAGCAGGATGCCGCGCAGCGCCGGCAGGAGGCCGAGGACGCCCAGCTCCGAGAGGCCCTCCGCGCCAGTGAGGAGGAGCATCAGTGCCAGCAGCGCGCTCTCGAGGAGCAGCGGCGGCGCGAGCGGGAGGTGATAGAGTCGTCGCGGCGCGAGGCGTTTCGCGATGAGCGCCGCCGCGAGGCCGAGGAGCAGCGCCTCGCGCTCCTCGAGATGGAGGTCATGGCGCGCAGCAAGCGCGAACACGAGGGGCGCCTGCGCACACAGTCGCCGCGAGTGTCGCTGTCGCGCCCCTTCTCGCCGGCGTCGCGCGAAAGTGCGAGCGATATCGGGTCGTCGGACATGGAGCCGCTCCTGTGGCTCCGCCACCGCAGCTCGGCCGCCACGACGGAGAGCTCGTCCAGTGCACCGCACCCACCCAGCACTCCGCCCCGCTTTGAGGAGATGCCGAACCCGTTTGCGGCGCCAGACGGAGCATCAGCACCGCTCCCGCCGAACGAGAGCGACACGCCGACCAGCGCGGCCGTCCCACCTCCCGCGGCGCCTGGCCCGGCCACCCACAGCAGGAGCCCCGCACCGCCGCGGCTGTCGCCCATGCCACCTGCGACCCTGTTCGCGCAGGCCAGCCATGTGACGGCACAGGCGGACGTCGCGATGTCGCCCAGATCCACAGCGGAAGCTGTCTTGCCAGCCGAACACAGGACGATTCGCCCCACACATGCGCTGAGCCGCTACGAGGCCTTGTTTGGACGGCACGAGGAGGAGTGGAACGACGAGTGTGGCGCCTCGCCCGCGAGCGAGTCCGGCTCGTCGTTCAGCCTGTCGCCCTCACCGACATCGCCCGTCGCCGAGACGCCCGTCGCGAGTGATCCGGTGGCGCTGGGGCGCATGCTGGGCTTGGCGCCGGACAACGACACGACGCCAGTGCGCGAAACGCCGCCTGCCGTCCCACCTAAATCCGACGAGGACGACACGCTATCGCAGGGACCGAACCTAGAGCTGCCGACGCCCACGCCTCACACCGAGCCGCTCGGGTACCCGCCCGCGTATGTGCCTGGCCACCCGGCGCTGCGGGGTGTACAGTTTGGCGCGGCCAATGAGCCGTACCCCCTGGAACTGCGCACTCCCGACGGGGCGATGATATACCCCACGCTAGACCTGTCGTCTACGCCGCAGCTGCCCGCGGATGCCACGCAGCTGTGTTTCCCCCACGTCGTCGAGCTGGGCGGTGCTCAGCCGTACTTTGTGGTGCGCGCCTACTCGTGGAAGGTGCTGCTGCAGGCCCTCGCTTGGCACGGCACGTCGGTCGTGCAAGCGCCAGGCGGGGCGCTCTACGTGCATGTGGCATTCGCGGTGCCGAAGCAAGCTACCAGCCCCAGCTTCGCGGCGCCTTCGCTCGTGAGTCTCGCGCTTGGGACGTCCGCGGAGCCGGTGGCCCCCGCGTCCAGCGCACTCGCAGCGGCGTGTGCGTGCCACCATGTGCCACTGTATGCAGTACCGCTCGTGGCGCATCCCCTCTCGCTGCCGACGGACCTGGTGACTCTTGCGCAGTCCCTGTTTACCGCGCCGCAGCTCAGCATGGCGCCCGCGCTGCGGGAGCTAAAGCAGGCCATTGCGCGCCATGGCGAGTGGCTCGACGCGCGCAGCCACGCCATGGCGTCGCGCACCCACACATCGCCGAGTGCGGCCGAAACACTGGAGCTGCGCCTGCTCTCCCACCAGCTGGCCTTGCTGGCGCACCCAGTCACCGCGCCGGATGCCGTCGAGAGCGAGGGCGGGCACCGCGACGCGCTCCGCACGCGCATGCGCCGCACACTCGCGCGATGGAACTCGGCGAACGTCGGGAACGACGAGGATCTAGCTACGTGGATCACGCCATACGACGTAGCGAGCCGCCCGTAGACGCGCCAGGCATGGCAGATCGGCCCCTCGTTACGCTCGGCACCTCCACGTTGCCGACCGACGACGCGCCGCGCCCTGTTGGATGGTGCGCATCACGGTCCCGGACTGGATCGTGCACCGCGCCGATGAGCGGTCTAAGCGATCCACCATATACACACTCGACGTGCACCCTGACGGGACGCGCCTGGCCACAGGTGGCCTTGATACCAAGATCCGCGTGTGGGCCACGGCGCCTATCGTGAAAGAGTCGACGCGTTCGCCGCGCCTGCTCAGCACCTTGGCGCGACACACCGGCGCAGTGCTGTGCCTGCGCTGGTCGCATTCGGGCCGCTTCCTTGCGTCGGGCTCCGACGACACGGTCGCGCTGATCTGGGACCTTGACGAATCGGGCAGTGGCAGTGGCATCGCGTTTGGCACGTCTGAAACGAACGTAGAGCACTGGCGCCCGCACCGCCGGTTGCCTGGCCACGATTCAGACATCACAGACCTCTCCTGGAGTGAGAGCGACGCGTACCTCGCGACCGTCGGCCTCGACTCACTTGTGATCCTGTGGTCGGGCGACAAGTTTGAGCGTGTGCGCACGATCCGCGGGCACCATGGGTTTGTCAAGGGCGTGTCGTTTGATCCCATTGACCAGTTCCTCGCCACAAGTAGCGACGACCGCACCGTCAAGATTTGGCGCACAAGCGACTGGGGCCTGGAAGCCTCCGTGAAGGCGCCGTTCAAGAGCAGTCCCAGCAGCACGTTTTTTCACCGCCCGTCGTGGACGCCCGACGGCGCGCACCTACTCGCCGCAAATGCCATGAACGGGCCGGTGTTTGTCGCGAGCATCGTCGACCGGTACACATGGGCGTCAGACATGGCGCTTGTGGGTCATGAAAATGCAGTCACCGTAGTGGCGTGCAGCCCCCGTTTGTTTGAAGGCCCCAACAAGACGTCTATCTCGGTGCTAGCACTAGGCTCACAGGACCAGAGCGTGTCGGTGTGGATGACAGGCCTTGCGCGACCGCTCCTCGTCGCCAAGGACTTGTTCGAGCGGCATGTCATGGACTTGGCGTGGTCCGCTGACGGCTACACACTGTATGCTTGTTCATCCGACGGCTCCGTCGCTGCACTGTCGTTTGACGCCGACGACCTTGCCCCCACGCTACCCGATAGTGCCCTATTTGAGGCACGGGCGGCGCACGGCTATACTAGTGGCGCGCGGCGTGCCGCGACACACGTACCGCTTGTGCGCCCCGCGCTCGAAATGGATGCGCCACCGCCGCCGCTCGTCTTGAAGACCAGCTCGCAACCTACGGAGCGACTTGTACAGACAATTACGCGGGACCGGAATGGCAAGCGCCGCATCCGCCCGACCATCGTCCATGAGAGTGGCACTGCGCCAAGCATCGCTAGGACCGAGTCGCCCTTAACCTCCGAGGTCAGTACACCCTGGGCCCCATCGCAGCCGGCCATACCGCTCTTCCGGCCAGGCCGGGCTACCGAGCCTGGCGCCATGCCCGTACAGCGCCACGTTACATGGACAGGCCGTCATGTGTCGGTGGAAGCGCGCAACGAGGCCGCCATTACCGAGCTGGTCTACCGAGCGCAGGGCCACGTGCGGTGGACCGACGTGCTTTGGAGCCCCGTACTGAGTGTGACGGCTAGTCCCACTTGGGTAGCCGCCTCCCTCCATGATGGCACGCTCGTTTGGTACTCAAGCAAGGGCCGGCGCCGCGCCACGCTGGCCATAGACCCTTGTGTCTGTCTGGCGTCGCAAGAGAACTACTTGGCGGTGCTCACGACGCGCTCCTCAGTGGCCGTATGGCATGTTGTACAGGGTCAGCAACACATTCCTTTTACCGAGGCTCCGCATGGCGACTATGCCAGCATGTATGTGCATACCAACGGTGTGCCTGTGCTGATAGTAAAGCAGCCACAGGCGGCGCTTGCCCTGGATACCCAGAAACAGGCCTTTGTATGCATTGCTCAGGGCACGCTCGCGCGGCTCAGTGACGCGTGGGATGTACGGCTGCGCGAGCGCAGCGCGACGCCCCGGGACCCTGTGCTGCAGGCCGAATGCGCGCTCAGCGAAGCGCTGCCGCCGGAATCGACCGCAGCGCAGGCAGGAGCGACACCCCAGCAGCGTCTCGCAGCCACCTTGAGTCACCTGGACATGCGTATGTCCGCTGCCGAATTGCTCAACAGTGCCAATGAATACCGGCAAGCTTTGTATGCCTTGGGCCGCCGCCTCGCGGACGAAGGACTCCAGAGTCAAGCAGAGGACTTGGTCGAAACACTGCTCGGACCTGTGTATTACCACCCGAATATGCCTGTTTGGACCCCGCAAGTCCTGGGCATGGACAAGCGCGAGCTCCTCTTGTCGCTATTGGCCGTGCTAAGCCAGGGTCGCCTAGCTGCTCTAGCGAATAGAGTCCACGAGGTGCTCCGTGCACAACGTGGCACCTCCACCTTCGAATAGATGACCATTGGGGGATGAACTATCAAAACCGAAGGGTTATTTACCAAATGGTATGACCGCCGCTGACAATAATGTCGGCGCCGTTGCAGAAGGAAGAAGCGGAGCTAGCAAGCCAGACAATAACACCACGCAGCTCGTGCGGGCGACCGATACGGCCCAGAGGGTTCGCGTCGCTCCAGCGCGACAGCATCTCAGGGTCCGAGTCAAGCTGGTCGGCCACCAGGTTGGTGCGAATGTAACCAGGCGACAGGGTGTTCACGCGAATATTGTGTGGGCCCCATTCAGCAGCGAGGTTGCGACCCATCTGCAGCACAGCCGCCTTCGACGTGTTGTAGGCCACCCACTGTTGGTCACGGTTGACAACCGTACCCGACATAGAGGCAGTCAGGATGATAGAACCCTGGTTTTGCTTGCGATCCTTCATCACGCGGGCACCTGCCTGCGCGGTAATAAAGACACCCAGCGTGTTCACTTCTAGCATCTTGCGGAACTCATCCACGGGGTAATCAAGTGCAGGGTATGTCTGCATAATACCAGCATTGGCCACAACGACATCGATGGTCTTAGTGGTCGAAACATTGGAGATATACTGCATAGCCTCGTTCATCTCGTCGGCGCTCGTGACATCAGCAGTAATGAACTCGATCTGACGGTCCAGGAGCTGGCAGTGCTTCGCGACCTTCTGGAACTCCTCGCTAGGCACATCCGATCGGTCAATCACGAACACGTGGGCACCGGCCTCAACAAAAGCCAGAGCCATCTCGAGACCCAGACCACGGTTACCGCCAGTGACCACGGCCGTCTTCTCGAAAAGGGAGAATTCGGCGAAAATGGTCGTAACGTGCTTGTCCATGCCTTCAGAGCGCTGGTTGATTACAGCATTCACCCCAATGTTCTTAGGGTCGGGGTTGGGGCCAGGGTTGATAGGCATGTCGCTCTGCGAGACACTAGGACGGGCAGGTGCCTTCCAGTGCTTCACAGCCATAGCAGGAGAAGCACGGGAGAAGGCCCGAATAGCCGAAGCAGGCGTAGTCGACTTGCGAGCGGCGATGCGCAGCATAGAGGCCGGAGCCAGGCGGAACGAAGACATCAGGATGATGGTACGAAGATACGGGGGATGAAATGCGAACCACGGGGATTAAATGCGAACCAGAGATATATCCCCGTGCGAATTTGATGCGCCCCGACTGAGATTATCCGACGAAATAGGACCCTATGGCCCGTCTCGCGCCAAAGGGTCGAAAAGCGCGGTCCATACCTATCCACCCAATCAGACCCGAGACTGACGTGGCAAATTACTAAAAATGGCTGCGCACTACACGGTGGTCACACATAGCCACGGTTTTTGGCGGAACGAAGGAATGCCATGGTCTCAATGGGATTGGTGCTTCCCGAGACCCTTTGCACCTCGTCATCGTGGACTAGCATGAATGGATTATGAGCGCGCTCTTCGGCCAATGTATAAATACCCGTCGTAACGCCATTGTTGCGACGACCCCACAAATCGGACAAGAGAGACTGGATGGCTGGCCGGTGGGGCAGCAGCTTAGCACTGAACTTAGCGTTCGATGCCGTATATTCTAACGTCAGTATATCAGATAGTACGTACCATGCCCGCAGTATACAAGTGTGTCGGAGGGAAGAGCAGCAATCACCTCGTTTAAGGCGTGGTGCATGTCACTTGCATCCCCTTCAAAGAATCGTCCGCAGCCTGAAATGAAGAGTGTATCACTAGTTGTCAATGAAATAGGTACACACCCTGTAAAAACGCCGCGCTTCTTCTCACCCTCGTGGCCCTCCTTAATACCATGTCCCGTACGGGCAAGCTCCTCCTGTGAACGTTCATCTTCGACAAAGAAACAAGTGCTTTCGCGTGTGTGGCATGGTGTGGAATAGGCTGTAACATGAACGGGGGCTTGGTCAAACAGAGTGAACTTGTCGCCATGCTTCACAATGTGTGTCACTTGCGAAACCTCTCGTGACCCACCCCATATAGGCCGCCCTGGGAATGTTTGAGCAAAGTCTTCATTCCCACCGGCATGATCAAAGTGCTTGTGTGTCGCAATACAGCCGACAACCGCATCGTCAGGTAGGCCCAGATCTTTCGCCACTTTGTGCACGGACTTCACATCATAGGGGTCTACAAACACAGCCTGGGAGTTACCCTGGGCTGGCGTAGACATTAAAATGTAGGCATAGTTGTCCTCACGGACGGGAACAGGTACAATGCGCATATGGCGGCGAGGCACAAACGTTGAAGGTCGGATAAGACGGTTGGCCACACGGGTGCGTGGCAACATAAGACAAGCGCCGGTGTGGAGGGGCGTAGATATCGTACAAGTCTATGGGGTCAGGTGCCAAGCGGACTAGTTGTTCTGACTGAACTTGTAGCCACACTTGGGGCAGTCGTAGAAGACAGTAGTACCTTCATCAGCACTGCGCAGCTGCAGTGTATGGAAGTTCATCTCTTCGTTCCCACAGCCCGGGCATTTTTCCTTGATGGTGGCCTGCTCCATGGTATTCTCATCCGTGCGACTCACATGGCTTACAAGCTGTCGTTTCTGTCGCAGGACAGAAGGGAAGGCAGATGGGTGTGAGCGCGTAACGATCGACAAATTGTCATAGACTGCTGTGAGAATTACGATACATACTACGAGCATCCTGGACAGTACCGCATGGGGCACACGTAATGACATCATCATTGCTTGGAAGATCAAGAAGTGACCCACATGCTGTGCAGAACAGCAGTGAGCCAATCTTGTCTGGAATGATAGGGGCCTCGCTCGCCGCCATGGTGGCACGCACAACGTCGTCGCCTCGCCAGTAAGAAAATTTTATCACGTGGACTCCACCTATGCACCTACGGCCTCAGGTCTATCGGATGCGCAGGCCATAGAGGCGCTCAAGCTGCTCACAACTCTCGTAGACCTCGGCCTGTATTTTCGCAATCTTTTCACGATCGCCCTGCTGTTAGATATATATACGTACACCGATGCCAAAGAATCCTTGGGCATCCATAAGTCGACGACGTTTATACTCCTGAGCATTCTCGCACTGACGGTAAAGCTCCTTCATCCACATTTCTTCCACGCGCTGCTCAAAGGCACGGAGCTCGGGACTGCCGCGGTCCTTCGAAATCCGGTGTACATTTCCGCCTTGATTTTTGTATGTGGTAGAGGAAGTAACAAAGGGGTGCTTGGCAAAGGACACTGGATCCACGTAGTAGGAGATACCTCTGTCCATCGTCGTCCGCTGCGCACGGTGAAGGGACGTGGGTCGCCATCTGAAATCTGGATCCGAAACCGTAAATAGTTGGGGAATATACGACAAGAGTGTAAAAAAGACCAAGATAATAATGGGAAGCAGCTGGAACCACATCGCTGTTTGATTAGCACCCCCTGCTGGTTGCTGACCCGCCTGGCGAGCGCGAGCCCCAGCCCCTGGGCGATAGTAGTGAGTGCGGAAACCGGGACCACCGAAAGTGAACATGGGACCGCCGAACTGTGCACCAGCCATGCCCGCTCCACCGCCAAAGAACATGTTGAATAGATCCTCAGGGTCCACTTCTGTGGCCATGCCTGGCCGCATTCGTGCACCACCAGCAAATGGATGAGCAGCTCCCGACGCGGCGGCACTGCCAAACCGACTGTCGGGATCGCCCCCAAACCGATCATACATAGAACGCTTGTCCTTGTCAGACAAGATGGTGAACGCTTTGGATACCTCTGGATGTGAGAAACTTAATACATACGCTTGAAAGCTTCGTCAGCACCTGGCGCTCGGTTCTTGTCAGGATGGAGCTGTAGCGCCAGCTATCGTTTTAGAATAGTATCAACGTACCTTCTTGTATGACTTTTTTATCTCACCTTCCTCGGCCGTTTTTTGAATGCCAAGCACCGCGTAAAAGTCGCCGCCTGCACGCTTCACACGGCGCACTACCTCGACCTGTTTTTCCGTGTATTCGCGTTGTTGACCTGCATCATTGGTCACAGTCGTGCGCGAAGTGGTTGATGTATACACAGTTTCTTCCTCTTTGGCCTTTGGTGCACTCTCCGTTTTTGCATGTGGGTCGCTCGACCCTTGCGCCCCCTGCTGCTTGAGCCGAGTGAAGAGCGCCATGGCCTCGGGCGTCGAGTATATAGCCACGCTTTTTCGGGCCCATTTAAGTGCAGCCTCTGTGTTTCCATTCATGTCATGCTTGCGCGCAAGATCTAGCGCCTTGCGCGCTTCTTCCGCGTCCATAATGCACACGTCGCCCCTGGACTGTGGTCGGGTACGTGGAAGCTGCGGTGTGCATACATTCAGGAAATATGCTCTCCACACTTGACAAGGTTGGGCTAGCAAAGACTATAAAGAGCGTGGGGCGTTTAAAAGAGCATGTCCATGAACGAGGTGCTCATTTCTACACCCACGAACACAGCCGCATTAGCGGGGAAGGCACGAGCCATTGCAGGCCCGAAGCCCTTAAACAGAGCACCAACACCATCAGCAGCCACGGTCTTGGCGGCACAGTCCATGAAGCTCTTGAAGGTACCTTCGGGAGCTCCCTGATAGCGCGACTTGATCACATCCGGAGGAATCGCAAGAGCCCAGTTGGCCATACCAGCAAGACCTCCAGCTGTAACAGTGGTCATGATGTTAATATTTTTGGGGTCTTGGTCGGCAGGAGTCAGATAGCGTTTGGCTACCTCATAGGCGGCAAAGTAGGCGGCGCTACCAGGTCCATCACGGGCAAGAGTGCCGCCAGTTCCCTTGAAAATCGAACGAATACCGCCCTCCTTGTACAGCTGGCGCACCACATCACCTGGACCCTTGTACTTGGGACCCTCAGCCGACTGGCCCTGAAGCTGGAGTAGGACTTTGATACGCTCAGCAGGTCCTGCAACAAGCACAGTAGGGATGGCACTGAAGAAACCAGCAATCGAAAGTTCAGTCAAGTTCAGCTCAGCCTCCTTGCGGTTGGGGGTGGCCGCGTAGACAAGCTTCTTGCCCAAGTCAAAAGAAAAGAACGAAAGAGCAAAGATGGGCGTGACACCGATCAGAGGGGGACCCATGCCACGGTAGAGACCCTTAATACCATCGGCCTTAATCGTCTTGCCGATCACATCCATGGAACCGGAGTAGGTGCCCGGGGGAGCCGTCTGGAGACGGGTCTTGATTAGGTCAAAAGGATGACCGACAAGTACGGCGCAAATACCACCGAAACCACCGGAAACGAAAGACTTGATAGAAGTGGCAACGCTTTTGTGGCTCTGTTGGACTTCGATGTTTTCAGATGTAGTATCCATGCTGACTTGCGGGGCCGGAGGTCAGATACCGGACCGGACCTTCATTGTGTCTCCCCCCGTCGCGTGGAGCCACGTGGCCTAAACGAGACAACAAGGACGTGCCGTGACGTCCGTTCACGCGCCAGGCCCTCAAGCATGGGTGACACGTTCCTGTCGCTACCAGAGTTCTTTGAGACAGAACTGGCGGAGAGTCTTCAGTCTCGTACAGAGTCTCTGTCAGCGTTTCGTGAACTTGGACCTCCGGACTTGTGTCATGTGTTAAAAACTAATGGCCGGAAAGATCAAGGAACATACCACCTAGTTTCAGGTGTAGATGCCTCCTCCTCGGCTACTTTGGCTACGTACATAACGAGCCTATCTTATGAACTCGAAAAAAACACAGATTGGTTTGGCGTGAAATCCACTTATAAACTGAAGGGCGGTGTCTACTGCTGCTACAATGCATTCTCGCGAGTCGACCTGCGCGTTGAGGTTTGTATTCCAGGAAGTGTTATGACCTATGTTGTGAATGGTCGGGGTGAACGGCAAGAGGCCACTCCGGAAATCTGGCAAGAGACGTACTTGTCAGGCGTGCTACGTTCAATTTTATATGCAGATGATGAAAACTACGCATTGCTAGGATATCGCCGCATGGACCCTATTCCAACGCCTGACCATGAAGTTCGCTTCCTTATGGCCGCGGAAAACCTTTTCTTTAAAGGATGGCAGCTTGGTAGCAATCCTGAAATTCAGGTGGCTACCATTGTGAACAATCATCTCGCTGCAGGTATCCTCAAATACTTTGGAGAGTCGTCCCGCTACGAGCACGCTGTGAACCTGTTCGAGAAGTTATGGGCACGCGAACCGGAGGTGGCAGCCCTGGTGGCACAGTCATATTTGGGAATGAATGAAGAAGTGAAAGCTGTGCAAGTGATGCATCGCTCTTTGCAGCAGAATCCTCATAATTATGTCGTGCTGCATGTGCAGGCAGACTTTCTTACCACTAAGGGGCAGCACGAGCGTGCCATCCAGGTTGCTAAGGAGGCGGTTTCATGCGCACCTAGTGAGTTTTCGACCTGGGCAAAACTCGCCGAGTGTTACATCGACATGGGGGACTGGGCCGAAGCGCTACTCACATTGAACTCTTGCCCTATGTTTGCATACAATGAGCGTGACTTGTTTCGCATCCCTCAAGCAGCTCGCACACATTTCCCAGTGCCTCCTCTTGCCATTCAAAGCAAATTGCTTGATGAAAACCAACTTAACGACATGGAAGGGGACCCTACACTGCTCCGATTGCCTGCACCTGCTCTTCGGGGTACATTTGCTGGAGCTTACAAAGTGCTCACCAGACTGGTGAGTAAAGTGGGCTGGGATGACTTGCTGAAATATCGTTCTGAAGTGTTTGTGATGGAGGAGGAGTACCGAAATCAAGATGCGGGTACAGTAAGTCCAGACGAGAAACAGCAACAACAAGGTCAAGGCGGACATTGGTTAACCTTTACTGATAAGCGTTTGTGTGAGCGCTGGCTAGACAACCTTTTTATGGTATTGTATGAAGATCTTCGTATCTACACAATATGGCGAGCGGAACAGGCCCACTATGAATCGCAATCCCTTGCCTATGAAAGATCGGCAGTTGACTGGGAAATCCTTGGCGAGCTTGCTTTGCGACTGCATCATTTCGACGAAGCTCACGACGCATTTTTGCGGAGCATCAGCAAAAAATTCTGCGCGAAAGCCTACGTGCATCTCCTTGAACACTGTACAGAAACGGCCAACGTCGAACAAGCTCTTTCCATGGCGATGCATCTCGTGGCCCATAACCATCGCTGGTATAATGATACCGTCTACCCGGGTGTGGTCGCTAAAAATCTTTTTATGTTAATTAAGAAGAATGGCTTAGGAAAGGTTTCAAATACGCTTATTTCAATGAAGCCTCCCCAAGCCATGCTCCGCCTTATGCAATGGTATTTCGCTTATGCTCAAGAGTTTCGTCTACCAGGTACACAGTCTTGAGATTCGCTATAAACTATTTTTACATGCGATCCTTGTAAGTCATGACGTGATATAGGTCAAATAGCTTCACTACCGGCGCATAAACCAGAATCACCGAGGTCTAGAAGCTCACTGATGACTAAATATAAGGTGCGCATCGCCCGAAAGCAAGCAGCATAACTATTCGACGATCTCCACCACGGTCAATACCTTACAGAAGGCATGGTAGGGCAGGGTGTCCTTTTGGTGGACCCACCTACACCAGTTGTGCCAAGTCGTAAAAATATTGTATGTCAAATATGGCAAATCGCTAACTAAAATTAGAACTTCGACAAATTTTATGAAAACAGGTCAGCACCGTCCGCGAACAGATTGTCACAGCAACTGTCCCATCTAAATGGGCCAAACAGAAGGACAAGCGAGAATACCCTCCGAAAGATATCTAGCAGAACTAGTTGGGGACGCAGATCATCGGTATGTTGTACTTATTTAACCCAGGCTGTTACAAATCCTGAACTTGAAGATGAAACACCACGACGTCTCTCTTATAATTGCTATAACGAAGATCTTGAGACTGGTCTGAAAGACGCCTCTATCCAGCATGGGTCTGCACAATTGGATGGTAAAATGGCGTTTCCAAGTCCAATTCCAGATGAGAAATTTGATGAAAGACGAACTGATCTTGACATTATCGTTGTCGAATGGGATGGAGATGATAGGGAGTTGGGCACTTCATGGAGCATGACGTATCGCGCATATCTCACCTTGTATATTGGGTTGACCACTATATCTTCAACTATGGCCTCTTCGATATCATCTATGGTTCTTGTCAATGTGACAGAAGCATTTAATGTGTCAATGGAGGTTGCAAAGCTGACAGTGTTCATTTTTGTCGGTGGCTACTGTTTGGGACCTTTAGCATGGGCACCTATGTCTGAACTCTATGGCATCCGATGGTCTCTCTTGATTTCATTGACTGGTTCAACTATCTTTAATATGGCGTGTGCGCTTTCCCCGAACATTGGTGCACTGATTATATTTCGTTTTCTGGCGGGTACTTTCTCCTCGGCTACGCTTGTTATTGGTGGTGGTGTTCAGGCTAATATCTGGGAAAAGGATTGGTTGGGTGTGGGTATGAGTGTATTCTCCATGGCACCTATGTGTGGACCGGCATTGGGACCTGTCATAGGTGGATGGATTGCTGTCTCGAAAACTACATGGCGCTGGGTATATTGGGCCATGACTATATTTTCAGGGTTTCTGGTTGTTCTTGGGCTCGTGTCCATGAAAGAATCGAATCCGAACCTTACTCTTCAAAAGAAGGCTCAAAGATTGCGCAAGACAACTAATGACGACCGATACAAAGCTCCAATCGAGCTGCGAAGAATTGTGCTCAAAGAATTGTGTACACGTTGGTTCCTACTTCCCATTTTAATGCTAATCTTTGAACCTATGCTTCAAGCAATCACAATTTATATGTCGTTTGTATATGGAGTACTATACCTATTTTTCGAGGCGTTCCCAATTGTATTTGGACTTCACCAATTTAATGAGGTACAAATTGGACTAACATTCCTGGGCTTTTTGTTGGGATGTTTTCTTGCTGGAGGCTTCTACATCTTCTACGAAAATGTCCGATATGTTAGAGCCATGAAAGCTAGCCCAAGTGGAGTACTGCCTCCTGAGCAACGTATTCGTGTTGCCTTGATCGGCTCTCCTCTGTTGACGATCTCACTCTTTTGGTTCGCATGGTCTTCGTATGAATTCGTTTCATACTGGTCTGCGATTGGTGCCGCCGTAATGTATGGAATGTCTATGTTCTTCATCTTCGTATGTCAAAGACTTTGTGTATCTAACTTCAGTTTTCTCTAATGACATTTATGGCAGACGCATATCGCCAGCAGACCGCCTGTGCATTGTCCGCCAATACTGTTACCCGGTCAGCATTTGGATTTGGATTTCCGCTGGTACGTTATAAAACACACTTGATGACTAACAGAAAGTTCGCAACGCAAATGTATGATAAACTCAACCCCCGCTGGGCATCCTCGCTGCTGGGATTTATTTCTGTCGCTATGCTTCCTATTCCATTTCTTCTCTACAAGTACGGCGCTTGGTTACGATCCAAAGCGAAGTTCGCGTTTGGATAGAAGAATCACAAATGAGGTTATTCATCAGTTGGCTTGGCTACTTTTAGTGGGTCTATAAATAGAACTAGCTTGGCAAGTGTCTCAAATGTTTTTGCCTGGCCAATAGCACGCGAAAGTTTCGTCTCTTAACTGATATGTCTGGGCCGTGTGCCCACGTGTCTTGGTTAACAATTATTTGACATACGCTTGCCTGTATAAAATTTAGTCGTCGCTCAATCTCAGCTATCTTGTGCAATATGCATCTGATTGGTCAATTTCCTTTTAGTCGCTTGGTTGGATAGTTATTTTGCCGAATGCACCAAATATGTCTATGCGTCAAGCGAGATAGCTATTTTGACCGTAAGCGAAATCAGTACCTCGCCTGTCAAAGTATCCGTCGGTCTCCGCTAGTCTTCTCACCCACCACTCCTTCTCAATAACATGGCTCCGCGTCCTTCAGCTCAATCCCTATATGTGGATCGACGTAATTGGACGCCAGAAGAAGATGCACTTTTAATTCAGGCTATGAGTCGCTTCCGCTTTATGCAGGAAACTCGCTGGACTGAAGTCGCTGGAAGTATTCCCGGTCGTACTGCGAAAGCATGCCGCAAACGTTGGGTCAACGGCTTAAATGACCGTCTGAAGAAAGGTTCATGGACTAGCGACGAAGATGCTCGTCTTCGCGAAGGTGTGGCGCTGTTGTCTAACGATTGGGCAAGGATTGCGGAGCATGTTGGACAACGATCTGGTGATCAGTGCAGCAAGCGTTGGAGAGAAGTTCTTGATCCAGCCATCAATAAGACCTGCTGGACTCCTGAAGAAGACCACATGTTGATTAAATTGTTCGAAAAGCATGGGTCATGCTGGCAAGAGATTTCGACCCACTTCAACAACCGTCGTGCTCTTCAATGCCGTAATCGTTGCTGTAAGCTGCTGGGTCTCCATTCTCATCAGCGTGTGAAAAAAACAGGCCTTGCGCTTCCCGCAGCCTCAACTCCGGTTCCTTATATTGCTAATAATCACGAAATGCCCAAGGTTGTTTCCTCTATGACTGATATGAAGTTACCAATGGATACTAATTGGCAAAATCAGACAGTCACAAGTCCAATAATGATGTCTACGCCAACTGATACGCCATTGACTGCAGGCGTGATGCCGCAGATGTTCGAGTTGAATGGAATGAACCTTTCCAACAACCAAGTAAATATGGATTACTTGAATTCTGATGAAAAGAATACGACGCATTTCCTCGATGCCTGGAATAAAGTGCAAGGATTTTCCTCCACTGAACGCAAAGGTACTCCGGCATCTTTGAGCTTGTCCGAAACGGAACCCCCCATGGGTTCACAGATGACATCCCCAAGTGTCTCTACTTATTCACCCACAGCTGATCTAACGCTCTTGCCGAACTCGGGAAGCGGGGCTTCAAGCCTAGATGGCTCCCCATCGACACCCTTTACAGCTCCCACAGCTCTTCAGTCAAACAATACTTCTACGGGACTAAATCAGAACTTTTATCCTGGTACCTCTATGGATGTTCCTGATGCTTTGTTCCTTTCCAGCCCATCATTGACTGTTCCCTCGGTCAATTTAGATGATTCTTTCAAAGTTCCATCTGCCCAACCACTTATGACTGGTATGGTACAGCTTCCGACCTCTATACAAGAACTGGATATATGGACTGCGAGTAACTTTCTGATGTAATTTTGATACGAGGTAATGACGACATGGTATCCGGTGAAGAGAACCAAAACTACTGCTACCAAAAACACAGTGAAAAGGTAGAATGTGTGTATAAATAGTAGACAGTACTTAACGATTTCATCACGCATGGACTAGATTTACGCGAATATGCCAGGGGAGCGAAGCTCCACGTGATATTGCGAAGAAACAATTATCAAACAATTTAAAAGATAGGACATAGTTCTGTACAAATAATATTTCAAAGATTTCGAAAAACGATATAAGAAAAAGGTAAAATCATATAAATTTATTCATATTTTAAATGCTCAATTTAAAAATATTATTAAGTTTATAATTATTATCTTGTAAATTAAAAAGCGTTTATTTTGAGTTTCTTTTTTATATAATATAAGTTGAGTATATTGGAACGAAATATAAATTTAAATTGTAATTATTTTTGACGCTTTATTTGTGTTTCTATTATAGAAACCTATATGTATTTTTATATAAAGTATAATTTTTTCTTTTATTTTTATTTTTCAAATAAACGTTTTGTATGGTTTTATTATTGGGTTTTATTTTTTGTTTTCGTTTTATTATTCGTGCATATGTGTTATGGATTTTTTTTATTTATTTGATTCTTCTTAACTTTTAATTATTGAAGACGCACTTACCCGCTCGTTCTTGTCGTCGGTTTTTAGTGGAGGTGGATGTAGTATCTAATTGATTTTATTCTATCAAAGCCATGGCATCCAGGTAGGGTCCTGCAGTGCCAACTTGCTGGGGTGACTAGCGTAATTGATCAAGTCAAGAACAGCTTGATTTGCTGGCGTGCTGGACGTCTGTTTTGAAGTCAGCATAATAGAATTACGTACCATCTCAAGGCCATACTTGCAAGACATGAGGCGTGCACGCTTCACAATCTCGAGAACATTTTGGCGCACTAAGTCCACATTGGGCTCCGAATACTTACTGGCCCCGTTGGAAGCAGTGTGGTTCTGTTGAATTCCACTGAACCAAAATTGAAGCTCGTCTCGCACAAAGATGCCCAAGTAATCCTCCAGCCCGTGCTCGGACATGGTGAGAGCTGTGCCTAGGGCCATAAAGGAACTGGTCACGATACCCTCGATACCAATCGCACCAATAAAGTGTTGAATATTTGGACTCAGTCGGAAGGGCGTCGGGTCCGGTGACTTGAAATGTGGTGCCTGCGGGCTAAACGTAGGTACCACATCTGACATGATAACTGCGCCGGTAGACCGGGAGATATGGATCCGACCGGGATACCGAGCACTGATGAACAGAATATAGGTGAGGAACATGGTCGCAGACATTTGCAGTGTGAACTGCTTGCGCATTAACCACAAGTCGCAAGGCGAATTCATGGATTTGACCATAAAGTGGGTAAGGATCTTGTCTGAGATCATTTTGGTGCTGATCTCCTCGAGCAGCTCCATGCGCAAGTTTGCAAAGTCCACATTGGTGCGACGGTGCGAACCGCCATCCCATGTACTTCGCATTTTCTCCACCCACGCCACAATCGGATCGTCTTTGCCCATGCCAATCTGTTTGCAATATCGCTCGTAAATATCCTGCATGCTGATGAAGGACTCGTCGTATGTAAGAAGCCGCAGCTGTGGCGAGATCGGTACGGCCGTGGGGACGTTGAAGGTTAGTCCTCGTTTGCGTGTCTGGATTTTGCGCTCTAGAATCGTATTCAGCAAGCGCAGCAGCTGGAAGATCCTCTCTTCACGGCGGCAGTAGCGAGCAGAAGGAAGTTGCACCGCAAACGAGTGCAGCGAGCCCTTATGGCTCAGGATCGTTATACGACGATTACACATGCCATTGGAGCGCAATAGACCGTATTCGGGGAGGAACCGCGTAATACGCACAAAGTTGCTGTTGTTATCCGCAAGTTCCAGGTACTGCCCGGGTATCTCCACCTCGTCGAACTTTTGGTGCTGGAACTCGACCAGATAGTGCGAGCAGTGTTCCAGGTGCTGCCGGCGAGGTCGCTTATCGAGTGATTCCTCGTAGCGATCGCGCCAGCGCTGCAGTCGCGCCACATACTCACGAAGCGTTGGTTTGCTTCTCACAAAGTCACTCTCGAACGCGGTCTTCAACGGGCCCGCCGGCAAGTTGTCTGCAAACAGCGTCACATTCATCTGCGATGTTTGCGGCAGCTGCCCATTATCCGTTGTGAGGGGCGCACGATGAATGTATTGCTGCAACGCATCATTAAGCAGCGCATTTGTCAGCCGGTAGATGTCTTCATCGTTGTTGGGCTTGAAGCGCTGCTGCAGCTGCTCCGCCATATTCTCCATCGTCAGCGCCAGCAGGGGGAAGGCCGTCTTGAGAATATTCAAGATTTCCTCCACATGGTCCCAAGCATGGCGCCAGGGATCTTTCTCCTTCGCCTCTTCCTTGGGCGCCTCTTTTGCCTCAGCGTTGGCCTCCCCGTCGTCGACGCTCTGGTCCTTCGTCTTGTCCTTGGCCTCACGCGCCTTGGCCGCTAGGTGGCTGCGTCTCATCAGCACAAAGTCCTCCTTTGAGGTGCGCAGATAGTAGTACAGCGATTGCGGGAACGACTTGGCAATTTGCATCAGCAGCTTGCGCGCAAACTTGGCTTGCTTGTGCGAGAGCAGCTGAATGAGTTGTGGAATAAACGTAATCCAGTACCAGATCGGCGTCTCGCCACTGTAGTTGTCACACGCCTGCCACAGAGTGCCCTGCGCATCATCACACGACAGGAGCCAAAGCACTCGCACCAAAATCTTGCGTGACTTGCCATTTTTGTACAGGCCCGCAGCCTGCAGGTAGCAGCTGATCGCATTCGCTGCCATGTGGATCGCAGTGGGCTTGTCGCGGAACAGGCGATCGCTGTATCGGCCCCACTCCTTCCACGACTTGGGCAGGTTCAGGTCCATCTGAATTGCCGTGGCAAAAGCCTGGTTCGCCTCGTCATTCAGCCCCAGCTTGTGAAGGAACATGCCCTTGAGCGAGAAGAACTCCGCCTTTTGCGCCGCAGCGAAGAACATCAAATTCGTGTTGTTGATTACACTCAGGCCCTGTGCCAACTCGTTTGAATTATGATAGTGGCACCGCGCCTGCTCGCGCAGCTTGAGGAATGCCTCCTGGATCTCAATGTTTGGCAGTGTATAGATCTTGGTCAGCGACGAAATGCACACGTCATCCAGACCATGCTTCCTTGCGACATGTGCGAACCGATTAATGATCCACGCCGTCTCGTGGTAGCCGCGGTATGCGTACGAGTGCGTCGAAGAGCCGGGGCCCTCGTTGCGTTGGATTAGCGGGACTAGCGGCAAATATGCCTTGTTCACACTCGAGAAGACGTGCTGCCGCCACGCCACAAGATCGCTCCACGCATTGATGTCGTCCCACAGGTTCGGCAATCGCTCGCGCCAGGTCTGCATGAGCGTCTTGAGCTCCGACGACCGGTGGTTCAAGTTCGTCGCATTCGTGTGCGCCAACGAGGCAAACACCGTGCTGACCTCCTGCAGCTCCACAAACTGCTGGAAGATTTGGAGCAGCGGCACGTGCGCCTGGGACACGGTCACCGGCAGTGTGTGCCACTTGGCCAGCGTAAGTTGGATCGCCTCATCGCAGATACGCCCAAAGTCGGACGGCTTGTCAGGCGCGGCCTGTGCACGCAGTAGCGACAGGTATGCCTCGAATACCTTACGGCGCGGCGTGCTCATAACTTGGAGACTCTCGAGCGAGCGCTCCAGCGATTCGCGATCGGCCGTCCAGTCGGACAAGCGCCACGCACACTCCAGCGCCAGATCCTCGTTACCTTCTAGTTTGGCCAGGTCTGCGAGAATGTCCCACTGCTGCAGCTCAAGCGCACTGAGTACCCAGTGGTCGTCCCACAAGTAGTACTCGCTCTCGGTGAGCGGTAGACCGGACGAGCGGCCCTTGACCTGCGCCGCTTCGTACAGCACTTGCGCCTCAGCAAACTTGCCGCTTTGCTCGTACGCCAGCGCCGCATTCGTTTCCACAAACATGCAGCGCCGGCGCCACAGGCCATAAAAGTAGTCCGCCTCGCTCAGCTCCGCATACAGCTCGGCCAGTGCATCCTGCGTCGACTCGCGCACCGCGTCGTCGGTGCGCAGCGACGTAAGTTGCAGTTGCAGTTGCTCCATCGACACGTACCACGCCTCGAACGTCTTGGCCAGGTACTTGAGCACATGCGGCGGCAGCTCCAAGGCCGGCGCACAGCCCGCGGCCCCCAGCAGCAGCGTCTGCACGACATTCGGCCGCACCGCTGCCTGGCGCACTAGCGAGTCTCGCACCAAGCAGCCAATGAGCGCCCGGTTCAGCTCGCCCTGGTGTCGTTTTGGCAGACTGCCCCACAGCGCAGGGAACCAGTGCTGCCACAGCGCATGGGCCGCTTGGACATCGTGGTATTGTAGCGCCCGTAGCGCCGTAAGGAACGTTTGCGTCGTACTGCGGCGCACACGCTCCGCCAGGGGCCCATTTGCATCATGCACCTCGGCCAGGGGTGTCGATCCGTCGATGGCCGCAAGCACGAGGTCGAGCACTTGGTGCAGCCAGTAGTGCTCGCCCATGCTCTCCCAGTTCTGGTGTCCGAGCAGGTGCAGCAGGCGCCCGGGCAGCGAGCGAGTGAGCGATGCATCAAACAGCTCAATAAACTCGCGCCGCACCGCCGCCTCAGGGTGCCGACAACCCAGCAGGAATGCTGGCTCCAGCCGCGCCGTCAGCTCACTGCGTGCCAGTGACGGGTCACGATAGATGGCCAGGATCAGTTGCAAAAACTCGTGCAAGAGTGATGCGTCCCGATGCTCGAAGCACAGCATTTTGATAAGCAGGCCCGCCTTTTCCTTCACGGTCGGGAACACCTCGCGTGCATCCAAAATCCACGTCCGCAGCGTCGCCAGAAGGCCACGGCACAGCTCCGTACTCGGCGACTTTTCCACGAGCTGGACTACTGCGCTCAGGAACCAGCGCCGCTGGTCGCCCAGGTGCGAGATCCGCAGCTGCAACAGCTGCAGCACCTGAGTAAGCAGCTTAGGCACCGGCTCAGCAGCCCCGCTCGCCGCAGCGAGATGCTCCTTCGTAAGACGCGTCAGCACTTTGACCAGCGGCAGCTGGTGCCGGTCGATGCACGTAGGGTGTGTGTGCGCCCAGGCAGTCAGGACAGCGAGTGCGCTGCCCAGGTTCGTGCCTGTCCGCAGGCCCTCGGTGACAAGCGCTTCCGCGTAGGTGCACAGCTGCGCCGTGTCCTCAGGAAGCGGCGCCTCGTCGTCGGCAGGTGGCGCTGGTGGCAGCACCATGCATAAACGCTCCAATGTGGGACGCGCTGCGTCCAGCAGGGGCAAACGATCGCTAGCCAAGGGCTTCTCAAGCAGTTTCTGCAGCTGCGCGACGTGTGCCGACATCCATGCCACGTCGCGGCCGCGCGTCATGAGATCCAGCGTGGCAAGGGCATTCACCATAGGGCCCATGCTCTGGTCTGTGACCTCGGTGTGAACGAGCGCGCGCTGCAGGAGCGCGATACGCACTGTGACGCCCTGCCATGCGGGCGCCGTGAGAATCTGCTCCAAAAGTGCATACGCTTGCTTCGTCACGTCGCTACTGTCGATCGGCTCGAGCGAGAGCGAAACAAAGCGCGCGACGAAGCTCACGACCATATCGCGCAGATGGACCGGCATCGTGTAGGGCGGCGGCGGACTGCCGCTGGTGCGCAGGCGCTTGCGCGGCGGCGACTCGGCCTCAGGCGCGGGGCCATCCCATTGTACGAGCAGCGCGACGATATCCATCGCGAGTTTCTTCGAGTCGGCCGTTGCGCTGCTAGCGAACCCGAGCTTGGCGAGCGAGGTGACCATGTGCGGTACGAATAAGTCGCGGCTGGCATAGAAAAGGTCGGGGTACCGCACGATAAGCTGCAGAATCGTGCACAGCTGCAGCGCATGGTGTCCCTCATCGAGCAGCGTGCGCTTCGTCCACTTGACCCACAGCGGCACCTGCCCCGGCGTGCACGGCACACGCAATGGGAGCGCTGGAACGAGAATGTCAAGCGCGCGCCGCACGAGTGCGCGCCCATCGCTCGGGGGGAGTCGCAGCAGGCCAATGTACACCTGCCCCGTAATCTTGATAGGACTTTCGAACTTTTGCAGGAAGCGCGCAATGAACACGTACGCAGCATGCTTCACCGTCACGTCCTCTGCGGACAGGAATGCCCAGCCAAACTTGATCGCATCCAGCTTCATCGTGCCCTGCGCCGCGAGCACATCCGCGGCGTGCTCGACCAGCAGCGTGCTCATCTGCAGCAGCTCCACACGCAGCGCCTCGTCCGCAAAGAGCGCGGCGCCCGCGCCCTGCACCCGCTTCCACACCTCATTCGCAACTAGCGCCACGAGCTCCGCGTCGAGCAGCTCCGAGGCCGTCCAATACGAGGCCACCAGCGTCGGGTTCACGAGCTCGCGCAATGCATGCGTCTTACACACGGGCGCCACGCCATCATCTGCCACGAGCGTCATCGCACGCTGTAGCAGCGCGCGCTTCGTCGCCAGCGAGCCATGCACGCACACATGCTCGTACGCGAAGCGCGTGTGCGGCGACAAGTCACGTGGCTGAGCGTACGTGTACAAATCGAGCATCGCGAGGTAGGCATCGACGATCGGCTCGTGACGCAGCGCCGAGTGCAAGAGCTCGACGTACAGCGGCGTCAGCGGCGCGTGGGTGTACAGCACATCGGCTTCCTCGCGCCGCTGCGCATGACCCTCGGACGAGTTCCACAGAGTGAGCAGACGCTCGAGCACCGCACGGTGCTCCACAAGCCATCGGTCGTCGTGGTGCACGAGCTCCTGCACCATCTGCAGCGCTGCATGGACCGGGCCCCGCTGCGACGCATCCGTAAGCAAGGGAAGCAAGAGCATGTCGGCCTGCACACTGATCTCGTGCCGCAGCGCCGCGCCCTTGGGCGAGCGCAGCGCGAGGCGCAGCAGACGGAAGAGACGCGCATTCTGCAGCCGATCGCCCTCGAAGAAGTAGCGCACCGTGTGTGGTGCAAAGCGGTCCAGATACAGCACAAGCATGTCCGTGAACGGCGTCGGGCCAACCCGCCGCAGGTGCGCCTCCATCTCCGCGACATACATCGGCAGGCGCGGCAGGAACTGGTACGCCGTGTCGGGCAGCAAATGGAACACACGCACAATCGCCGCAAGCGTCTTGAGTTGCTCATTCGTGTCCAGCAGACCAGTAGCCGCCTGCTGCAGCATCGTCGGGTCCGCCAGCGCCGTCAGGTGGTCCAGCAGCTTGAGACCAATCTCCACCTTGAAGTAGTTGGTCAGCAGCTGCAGAAGGTGCGCCAGGCCATCGAGGCCCGCGGTCGTCAGCCGGTGGCGGTCCGCGAGCGTCATGAGAATCGGCTGCAGACCACTGCGCAGCAGGTCCTTCGGCAGCTTGCTTTGCTGTGCCAGTGTGGCCTTGAGCGATTTGTACGCCACTTGCACCACCTCCTCACTCTGCGAGTACAGGCACTTGAAGTACACGGAAATGATACGCATGCGCGTCGCACCGTGCTCCGGGCCCTGGAACTCTTGGCACTGCATCGCCGCGGCCAGAAGCTCGATCGCCACCACACGCAGCTTGGTGACCGCCATGATATTCTTGTACAGCACCGTACGACCCATCAGCGCCTGGTCCTCCGCATCCGCCAGCGCCAGCGCCTCGGTCAGCACACGGAACAGCTCCTCATTGAACGCAGGCAGCGGCGGCGTCAGCGTCAGCGTGTACGTCACAGCATCAATGTGCCCAATCTGCATGCCAAACGGCAGCGCCCGCAGCGGCTTGGTAAAGATCGGCAGCAGCAGCCGGTCTCGCTGCGGCTCCAGCAGGTCCCGTACACGACACTCGGTCAGACGCGCCAAAAGCTCCAGCGTCTTTTGCGTCGTGTGCCGCGCCATCTCATTCGCACACGACAGCTCAGGGATCAAAATGCCCACGAGCCAGCGCAGGTGCGGCGACGACTCTGTGTACACGCGCGCCGAACGCCCCGCCTCGTCTCCCACGTCATGCTTCGGCGTTTTGCCGGTGTAAGCCTGCTCCAGCACATAGTACAGCGTCTCGCTGATCCGCTCAATGTCCCGCGGCGGGTCCGGCGGCATGTCCTTCAGCATGTACAGCAGCGCACGCACAAACTCAAGCTGGTGGTCGGAGATCCAGCCCGCGCCCAGCGCAGCGCGCCGCACCAGCGTGTCGATGCCGAGCCAGCCGCCCAGCCGGCGGTGCCAGTGGTGCTCGTAGCAGCGCGAGCAGAACGCTGAGGCAAGCGCATGCATCGCCGTGTGCCCCAGCCGCGGCCGCGTCGCAGGCATCGCCTCGCAGTCGTGCAGGAACTGACGCACAATCTCCAGCAAAATCTCCATGTGCGGCGCCTCGCCTTTCTGATCCAAGCCGTCGATCGCGTGCGCCATCGCCTCGAGCATCACGAGCGTGAGTGGCAGCAAGTGGCGCTGCGACACGCCGCCAGGGCCGGGCAGCTCGCGCAGAATCTCGGCGTGCAGCACATGGGCGTACAGGTCCAGCAAGAACGACCGCACATCGCTGCGAAGCCCCTCGTGGCGCGCAGCACCGAACAGGCCAACTGTCACGCGACGCAGCTCCATACGCAAGTCGTGGTCATTGGCGTCAGCCACTAGCACCATCGCCGCGCTCATCAGGATCTCAAACGCCGGGCGGTGGAATGTGGCATCGCTGTCCTCGACCTGCGCGAGTGCCAGGTCAATCGCAGGCTGCAGCGCTACCCGCTCGAGAGTGCCATTCAGCTGCAGCGAAATCTGCGGCGTATTAGTCGCATGGTACTCGAGCACCGGTGGCAGCTGCAGGAAGCGGCGATTGCGCCCGCCTAGCTTGCCGAGGATGCGCATCGTCGTGTGCGAGTGCTGGTGGTTGTGCGGCAGCGGCTTGAGGTGCGTCCACAGGGCCGCCATAATGTCCTGGATGTACGGCTGCATCACAGGGTCCAGAAACTCCTGCGTCAGATTGTCAATGCATAGCTCGAGCGTGCGCAGTCCCTGGCTCACCAGCTCCGGCGACGCACGCAGCGCAAGAACGAGCGGGTGCATCAGCTGACCTAGGTACGGCAGCAGCACACTCAGACGCACAGGCACTGTGAGACACAGGTCCACAAAGAGCTCGCGCTCGCTCGGCTCAGCCGCATCCAGCAGCAGGTTGAGCTTCTCCAGCAGGACGGGGAGCAGCGGCAGCACATCCTTGTACAGCAGCTCAAAGCGCCCGCCGCCAATGCTGCGGAACAGGGCGCGCAGCAGCAGGAAGAAGTTCGTCGGTGCCTCCGCCTTGGACGCCAGGTGCAGCGAGTGCATGATCAGATGCGTCAGGTGCGGCTGCAGCACCGCCTCGTTTTCCTCGGGGAAAATGGTCACCGCCATGAAGGCCATCTTGAACAGGCGCAGACTCACGGACGCCAGCTTTTTGTCACTTGAGCCGAGGTCCTCCAGGCGCGCCACGAGGAACTTGAGCAGGATCTCGACAAAGCGGCGCGATACGGCATCGTTCGATAGCAGGTTCTGAGGGATGCCCAGCAGCGCAGGCGTTCGCAGAATCTGCTCAAAGAGGAACGGCATGTGCGTCATAAATACCTCATTGAACGTCTCGGGCGCGAGATCGATATATATGTTCGTCAGCAAGTCGAGCATGTCCTTCTCCTCGCGGCTGTCGCGCTGCGTCTGCAGCAGGCAGCTCTTCACGCCGCCCACAAACACCCGGCCCATCACCTCACTGTTCGGCTCGGCCATCCCGCGGTGCTTGAACACGGTCATGAGTGTCTTGAAGCCAAACAGTAGGTTGCGGAACAAGAAGCGCGTGTTCTTCATGGGATCACTGATATGCTCCAGGACGGCCACCGCCGACTGGATCGGCCTAGCCTGCTCAAGACGCACCGCGTCCCGCACAGCACTGTCACGCGCAGCATCCGTCTCCGGCGCATCCTCGTCGTCGCCTTCGGCATGGCCCTTGATCTGCCGCAGGTCCTCGCCTAGCTGGTACACTGCCGGCAGCTTTTCAAGGAACGTCTGGAATATGCCATGCAGCATCGCCGCCGAGTGCTCCGTGTGCTTCATCACAATCATCTCCACGAGGTTCAGCAGCAACTTCACACACATCGTCTGGATGCTCGGCGCCAGCGTCGGCTCATGCAGCAGCTGCGCATGGATGTTGATCACCTTGACCATCTGCGCCGTCGTCAGTTCCTGCCGCACATGGTGCATTAGGTCCGCGAGCATGCTCACCACGAGCGGGCGCTGCAGCTCCCGCGTCGTCACGCCCGTGCCGAGCAGCACACGCTCGTCCAGCAGCGTGTCGATTTGGCCCACAAAGTGCTGGCGGAAGTCGGTCGAGAGAATGTGCCGCGTGGCGACGAGCAGCTCCTTGCGTGTCACCGCATTCTCCGGCGGGCAGTCCTTCAGCAGCCGCACATTAACCTCAGGGAGCAAGTGTGCATACTGCCGCACGATCGGCGCCGAGCCCCGCAGCACGTACGCAAGGAACGACATGGTCTTCACCTGCGTCGTCACCATCTCCCCAAACAGGGTCCGGTTCTTGATGCCCGGTGCAACGCCCACAAAGATCTGCCCGCGCTGCCGTGCCGCTTCGTGCGCCTGCTGCTGCGGCAGCGCCTGTAGCGTAAGACAGTGCTCAAAGATCAGCGGCACAAACACGTTGATCGACGAGCTGACAACCTGGCGGTAGGTCTGGAAGATCAGCACGATGGCAATCGGGCATTCCGTCAGCACCTTGAAGCTCTGAGAGCTCCTGAGCAGCGTGCGCGGCGCCGCGACCGTGGGCGACGCCTCCTGGCCCTCGGACGAGAGCGCGAGGAACGTGTCGCCCTCTCCTGGCGGCGCCGCCGCTGCCTTGCCGGGCGTCTGCTCCGTGCCAAACGCCTCGGCGACCGCTGCCCGCATATTCATATACAGCTTTTGCACCAGCTCCAGGAACGGCTGTACCTGGTTCTGTAGCACGACCTTGAACGAGCGGTGCAGGTCGATGATAACCTTGAACGCCAATGTTGCATTGTCCTCGTTGTCGTCCTGCACGGCACGCAGCATGACTTGCATCAGGCGGTCCGCGTGCGGCCGCGCCGCCTCGTGCTGCGGATACCGGTAAATGGACTCGATGATGCCGTGGCGCAGCCTCTGCTCGGGCGCATCAGATATAAAAGCACACGGAGTGCTCTCGAGCAGGTCCATCTGCACCGGCAGCACCGCGTTCAGAAACGACGTGTAATCGAGGTTCACGAAGACTTCGATCATCTCCTTGATCTCGGAGACGACCGCCGCCTTGCTCCGCAGATCCGCCGCAGGATCCGCGAGCCGCTTCGCGAATACCTCCGGGTCCGGCGGGTTCGCCGGCCGCGCGCCGTCCGTGGCTGCCATGTCTGCCGCCACTACGCACGCGGGGGATAAGGGGGCGAAACGAGGCGCGACGCCGACCCCCCTTCGTTGTCACGTGATCCCCTCGGCGGCGCGTCCGCACGCCGCACGGTGCGTGTCTCGTTCGGTCCACGACTGACCGGCGGCATGGCCAGTTTGCTGCTGCGGCTGTTCAACAGCGACTACTTTTCCCCGCACCTAGCACTCAGCTAGTAGGTATACCTTTCTCATATCTCAGCCTCCGCACGTATGCGGACCATATCGGCATCTCGTACTTCCTCATCGACAAGCTCAGCAGCGACTTTCCCAAGGACGAGGTCGAATTCTACTGGCTCCAATACTGCCACCTGCTCGTCACACGACCCACCGAGTCGCGGGCGCTCGAATGCTATATCCTGCGTCGCTGCGAGGAGGACGTCCATGTCGCCCTGCTGGTACGTGCCCCGCGCTCACCCAGACTCTTTGGTACCTGCAGGCGCACCTCGCCGACCTTGCTGCAGAGCCCGAGTCGCTTGGATTCCGCACATGCCAGCGCGTGTATAACCGATGCCAGCGCATCCTGTTCGAGGACCCCGAGCCTGAGGCCCAGGTCCCGCGCCAGCAGCTCTTGCGCTTTCTCCCGGTCTTCGAGGCACAACGCAAGGTATATCCCGACAACACAGCCAGTGCCTTTGTGGGGCTGGCATCGTCGCTCCTGGCGATCGGCAGCCCATCAGTCTCGCAGTATGGAGGCGCTATGGCCGCGCAGCAGGGCCGTAAACCGCCAGACGGCGTCCGACTGGAGTCGGCCGTCGTGAACGAGGCCCGTGGCCCGGCGCCAGCGCCCGCCCTCGAGCCGGCAGTCCCCACGGTGCCGCCGGTGGAGCCAGTGGCCACGAGCGAGAATGTCGCTTCGTCGGCGCCGGATCTCGCCGAGCAAGTCTTTGGGCTCGACGACGACCGCCCGCGGCCAGCACCCACCGAGACGCCGCCCGCCGCGCCCATGTCGTCGCCCGCACCCTCTGCGCCGCCCGCCGCGCTGACGCCCCGCACGCACTCGTACGCGCTGCTCCAAAAGTACCTGTGTTCGCACTATGGACGCACGGCCATGCAGTTTCTTCAGGCCCTGCAGGATATCCCGGTACGACTGCAGCCGCTGCCGAAGCCGGCGCGGCTCTCCGCACTGCGGGCGGAGCTGACGGCACTGAACCGCACGCTCCCCGCGGAGGTGTGCTTCCCAACATGGTGCCATGGTACGGCCATGGATGAGCCGCGTCAGGAGCGGCACCACCGCGTCGTCCGCATTAGCGCGTCGGAAGCCGTGGTGCTGAACTCGGCGGACCGAGTGCCGTACCTGCTCCATGTGGAGGTTCTGCGCAACGACCTGGACTTCGATCCGAACCGGCGGTACAACCGCGAGCTGCTACAGCGCATCTTTGACGGGGACAAGCGCGCGTGCCAGCCGCTTGTGATGGCGGATGTGCGCCGAATGTCGGTGCCGCAGGACCCGCTGGAGTCCTCGCAGAGTGCACAGAGTGCGACGCCGGCGCCGGCGCTCTCGGGCGAAGTCGACTTGACCGAGCAGATGTACGGCTCGGACTTGGGCGGCTTTGGCCGCGAGCACGACCCGGAGGAGGGACTTGGGCACAAGAACGATACCCTGGACACGGCCGTATGGGCGCATGCTTCTGCTGCTGGCGAACCGTCGCAGTTCTCGCTCGAAGAGTATGCGCAGCGCATGCGGACCGCGGCCGTCATGCTGGCTCAGCTGAACAAGGGCGGCGGGACGCCGCGCGCTGGTGCTACAGAGCAGGGCGAGGTGGCCGAGGCGTCTGGCGCGCGCGTCTCGTTCGCAGATGCACAGCGCATCCGGCAGCGGATCATGGACGAGATGGCGGCGCTGGAGGAGCAGCGTATGGACCGCATGAAGCGGGGCGGGCAGTACTTCTCGCGGCGGCGGCAGGACACGATGGCAGCAGAGGACGAGAGCGCCGTGCTCAAGGCGGTGAACAAGGACGACCCGAGCGCCGCCTACTTCCGCGAGTCGTGGACGGTCAAGAAGGAGCGGATCCGCGCGTCGTCGCCCTACGGCCGTCTGCCGACATGGGACCTTTTCTCCGTTATTGTCAAGACAGGGGCGGACCTGCGGCAGGAGCAGTTTGCCGTGCAGCTTATCAACGAGTTCCGCCGGATATGGAACCACGGCGGCAGCCGCTGCTGGGTGCACTATTTCCGCATTGTCGTGCTCAACGAGAATGCAGGTCTCATTGAGACGATCAAGGACGCCATCTCGATTCACTCGATCAAGAAGGACGCGTATGCGCGACAGCTGGATGGGCAGACCATCTCGGCGTACAGCCTGTACGACTACTTCGTGCAAACGTACGGCGAGCCACACACGGTACGTTTCCGGCGTGCGCGAAGACACTTTCTCGAGTCGCTTGCGGGGTATGCGATTGTGTCCTACCTGCTGCAGATCAAGGACCGGCACAATGGCAACATCCTCGTCGACTCCGAGGGCCATCTGATCCACATCGACTTTGGCTTCATCCTGGGTCTTTCGCCCGGCGGCGTCGGCTTTGAGGCCGCCCCGTTCAAGTTCCCCCGCGACTATATCGATATCCTCGGCGGCATGGACAGCGAAGGATACCACGAGTTCCGCTCCCTCATGCAACAGGGCTTCCGCGACATTCGCAAGCACGCCGAGCGCTTCATCCTGCTGGTCGAGCTCATGCAGCGCGACTCGCACTTGCCGTGCTTTGTGCTGAACGACCAGGCGGCAGCACAGCTGCGCGACCGCTTCCAGCTCGGCCTCACTGCGGCGCAGTGCGACGAATTTGTCGACCGACTTATCTTGAGCGCGGCAGGCAGTGCCTTTACGCGTCTGTATGACCAGTACCAAAACTTTACACAGAATATCCTATAGTTTGTACAGAGTTGGGTCTGTGGTTCAGCGTGCGCAGCCCCAGCAATGCCTCCGAATGCCGTGTTGTATGGCACGGACATGTACTGGTAGATGGGATGGACTCCATGGCAAGGGACACAAGTCCCGCATGGCCGCAGCTTGGTTGTGATGCATTCGCTTGCCGCGTATGGAAAAGTCATAGCCAGAGGCTAAGCGAACAACCATGTCGATAGCGAGTACTAGCAGCTTTTGCCGGGCATACTTCACTGATACAGGTCAACAGGCACAAAAAAAAAAATCTATCGGCACCGGCCAGCGATACGCGAAGCTCGAGTTGAGCATGCTGTTCACGTCACCCCTTTTGACGGCCGCATCACCGGTAGCTCCATTTCATAGAGCGGCCTTTGCGGGGCACGAGACGCAAATCGTGAGGGAGATACCAGACCGTCCAAGTGGTCGTCCAGGTGGTAATCTCACCGCTCGATCTTATGGATGCGCACCATCAGATGCGCAAGAAGCTTTCGGTTCCCGCAGCCACCATGCTGCATACTAAAATGGGTGATCTGCCGAGGCTGGTGCGTCGGTGGGCGGCGTCGTCTACGAGACCTGGCTCCGTGATGCTCGCTAGGCCTTTGACATAGTCTCCTGAAAAATCACAAATTTGTACTATTGTCCATTTCCATCGCCACTGTCGACCTAAGGCTTTTTCGTACGCTTGAAAACAGAAGGCCTTCCAAAAAAGACGTTGAATACGTAGGACCCAGGCTGGCCTATGGATATAGTAGCGAGCGCACCTGGGCGCGTTCTTCACGGGGATCGAATCAGAGGAGCAACAAAAGGGTCCTCGTCATTACAAGGGACAGCATTATGCGAGTTACTTCGCGTGCGCCGACCGCGACATCTGACGGAGCTTGGGCCCATACTTGTAAAGCACAAAAGGGATCGGCACCATGGCAAGGGCAATAAAAGCCAACACAGTGGAAGCCCACTTTGGTGTCAGCGTACGGTACATCTGCTCGCCAAACATGGGAAAGCCCCCGCCAAAGGCCGAACGCACGATTGTATTGGCGGCCATCGCACTCGCGGCATTGGCAATGTACACCTCCGTGATGTAGACGAGGAAGCCCATAAAGACCAAGAAGACGCCTGCGCCAAAGAACGCGCCGGCGATCAAAGGACTCCAGAACGACACGGCTGGAAGCGACGTCCATGCGAACCAAAATAGCGAGGCAGTGATGAGGATGGATGCCCACGTCGTCGACTCGATACGCGCCTCCGGCGGCAGGAGCTGGTTGTTGTTCCTCTCAAATGCCTTAAGATAGCGCCGCTGATCCACCGCGAGACAATACACACCTGCAAGGATACAGCCGGTGAAAAAGCCAAGAAAACTTAGGCCCACTGCACCCTCGCGGAAGTGGTGTAGGACCCCAAATACGGCAGGATACGCAATGAAAAGTAGATACACAGTTCCATACAAAAACGACAAATACAGTGTGATGGCAAAGAGCATGGGCTCGGTAAAGAGCATCTTAATCGGCTTGGCAATTACCTTTCCTGGTAGCGTGGCGAGCTCCAAGTGGCGCCGCTCAATTGGCGCATAATACGGTTGTCCTGTCTCTTTGCGCAGGCGCTTTGCCTTCTGCTTCAGGCGCTGCGCGTCAAGCGTCTCTGGCATGGTGAAAATGATCATGATCAGCATGACAAACGAGAAGATCGTACACACGCGGAACACCCAGCGCCAGTTGGCACCAGCATTCGAGATGTAGCCTCCAACAATAGGGCCCAAGCATGGGCCTGCCGTGGGTGCGAACGCAAAAACGACAATGCCAATAACCAGGTACTTGACACTGAAGACGCTAGCAATGACAGCAGGCGCGTTAGTGTAGGAACTGGAGCCACATGCGCCGGCCAGAATACGGAACACAATCATCGATGCGATATTGGGTGCTAGCATGCAGCCAACGTTGAAGCAAACAAATCCAGTATAAGAAATAATGTAGATGATGCGGCGCCCAAACATCTCCGACAGGGGTGCCCACACGAGTGGCGCGAAAGAGAATGCTCCCACAAACAAGAACACGGACGCCTTGGCCACCTCAGGGGTCGTTTGGTACTCCACGATCATCTGAGGTAGAATCGATGACGGCACAGACGAGCAAAAGGCAGTACATAGGGTCAGCAAGCCATTCAGAAGCACTTGGTAGAAGCGGAAGTATATGTTGAACGACATGGTGCTTTCACGGTCGTCCTTCCCGTCCCATTTGACGAGCATGTCGTCTTCCTCACCTGCATCCCCTTTTTCTTGATCAGTGTCCTTGGGATCACCGGTCTCCTTCCCGGGCTGAATCAACTGAAGCCCATGCGCCTGTGGGATCATCATTGAGCCACGCGCGCTCTCGTGGCTCCATGGGCCCGAAATGAGGCATTGGTCGGTCACGGGCACGTTCCTGGTGGTTCTGATACGAATAGGCATCCCCATGGCTGGTTGGGCCCCTTCCGACACAGGAGCCGCAACATTGTTACCCGCAAGAGTCGTTGTGGGAGAGCCCGGCCTCTGCGCCATCGATGGCTGCGCTGTACCGTTCGGCGCAGCCTGGGCGACAGGAGTCACGCTCACAGGCTCGTACAGATGGATAGGTTTATTGACGGGTATTGACGTCACTTCATTGGTGTTTCCTGGCGCAATCGCGTATGAATTCTCTCCAGGAGCATAGGCGTGCGCAACGTCCGATGCAGACGCCATGGCCAAGAGGCAGGGCACAGTACCGACGACAACATAAACAGCGCGCTGAAACTTGTGACTTCCGCCTTTAGTCAATGCTTATTTATCAGACGCATGGGTTTGGGACCTGGGCCAATTTGCCAAGACAATTATTGGCTGTGCTTATCCGCGTGCGTAGCTGGAATAGCGCGGGCGCCCAGCGCCATTCGGAACGAGGGCCATACTTGTAGAGCACCGAAGGGATCGGCGCGCTGATCCATACCGGACTTGGTCCGGCAAAGCGGATGCTTCGCGTCACCACTCAGGCCGACAGTCTGGAAAGTCTATCCTCTTACAACTAACACAAGGGTATGGACTAGGGACACTACCTGCGGGCATTCTTCGACCAGCCACGAACAACATGACCATACTTGATCAGAATAAAGGGGATGGGGACCATGGCCAAGGCAATGAAGCCCAAGACGGTGGTGGCCCAGCGGGAATTCAGGCGATCGTACATCTGCTCGCCAAACATGGGGAAGCCAGCGCCGAACGCCGACCGAAAGACGGTGTTGATAGCAATTGCACTAGCCGAGCTGAAGATGTACACCTCGGTGATATACGTGAATAGACTCAGGAAGATGAAAAAGAGGCCCGAGCCGAACATGCCACCGGCCACCAGAGGACTCCAGAACGAAATCCAGTCGTACGACGTCCAAGCAAACCAGAACAGCGACACGGTGAGCAGCACCGAGCCCAGCATACAGGGGCGCAGGCGCACCTCGGGTGCCAGGGGCTTGCCGCCATTCTTGGCCATCCCCTTCACATACATCCGCTGGTCCACCGTGATACAGTAGAGGCCCGACAGGAGACAGCCGACGAAGAAGCCCAGGAACGTCAGGCCCGTCGAGCCAGGCGGCAGGCGGTGTCCGAGCTCAAACACGTACGGATAGGCCACAAAGAGCAGGTAGAGCGTGCCGTACACGAACGAGATATAGATCGTCGTCGCGAGAAGCATAGGCTCCACGATAATCATTTTGATCGGCTTGCCAATGACCTGGCCCGGCAGCTTCCACCACTCGATTTTGCGGAGCTCCACGGGCGCGACGTAGCGGTCATCGCCCGTCTCTTTCCGCAGTCGCTTGGCCTTCATCTGGAGGCGCTGCGGATCCATCGTCTCTGGCATCGTGAAGATAACGAGGACCAGCAGCACGAATGAGAAGATGGTGCACACGCGATAGACCCAGCGCCAGTTGGCGCCAGCTTGCATGATGTAGCCACCGACAATAGGGCCCAAACACGGACCCGCGGTGGGCATGAGCGCAAAGAGAGTGAGCGTCACCATCAGGTACTTCATGTGGAAGAGACCGGCAATCATCGCTGGCGAGTTGGACATGGAGCTAGATCCAAAGGCGCCGGCGAAAATGCGGCACACGATGAGCGATGCGATATTGGGCGACTGCATGCAGCCCACGTTGAAGCACACGAATCCGAGAAAGCTGATAATAAAGACGATGCGGCGCCCAAACATCTCCGACAAGGGCGCCCACAAGAGGGGACCCACACAGAAACTGGCCACAAACAAGAAGACGGACGCCTTGACAACATTGGGTGTCGTATGGAGATCCTCGACGACAGCAAACAGCACGGACGACGGGGCCGACGAGCAAAAGGCCGTGCACAGCGTGAGCACACCGGCAAGACCCATCAGGTACACACGGTACCAGAATGGGTACTTGAGCACATGCTCGCGGTCGTCCTGGCCATCCCACTTGACAATGATGTGCTTCGTCTCTTCTTCATACTTGGCCTCTTCGGTCTTGGTATCTTCAACGACGGTGTGCATGCTGGCATCTTCCTGATCGTCGACAATCTCGATACCTGAGAAAGCGGGGTAGGCCATGCTACCACGACGACGTTCGTAACCCCATGGTCCACTCTCAATGTCTGACGAGTGCACACGCAGGTTCGAGTGGCGCCCATGCGGATGGTTCGGAAGGTGCCCAAAGAGGGAGCCCTGGGATCCGAACAGATGGGGCCTGCGTGCTGCGGTAGGCGGCACCACGGGCTCCACGAGATGAACATGGCCAGGGGCAGGCTTCGTGGGAGGCGCATTCATCGTCGTCGACACGATCGGCACCTGGTCCATGGCGTCTTGCTTCGCCGCGGGACTAGGCTTGGTGACAAGGGTCGAGGAGGACTCGAGCGTATGCATGTTGGACAGCGGCGGTGCGCCGGTGGGTGCGACAGTCTGTACACCCGGCGGTACGTGCTGCTCCGGAGGGTAGGTAGCATTCTCCTGAGGCATGGTCTGCACAGCCTCTTCCCACCCGTTATGCTCGACGGCATCACTGAAGTGCGCCTCACTTGACCCACTGGTGTAGGTGGAATCCTCGTAGGCAGCGGGCATAGGTTCTAGTCTTGCTGGTCTTGCTGGCCTGCTGTGGCAAAGGGAAAAGGAGGACGAGGAAATCAGCTAGTACGCCGACAAGATGATAGCAACGTGACTTGTCGCAGCTGAGGGAGGGGCCCAAAACTTCCGGCCAGACGGACGCTGTATTTCGTTTCGTAGGGCTGCTTTGATTGCGACTGCTGACCAATCAAGGTTGTATTTTTTTTTCTGGGCGGCCGGTGGACTTCCGCGGACTTGCTGGGGCCCAGCGGTGCGTACAATCGCGTGGGCCGCCGCGCACGCTGGAGCCAGGGCCGTCCTGCATGGGCCACGCGGTTGCGACACGCCAAGACCGTGCAGTGCGTGCGCCGTGCGGCCTGGCCTGCCGCCGGCGCCGGCATGCTGTACAAGTGGCCCGTGTGCACTACATAGCTAGTTCCGCCTGGAGCGCGCGCAGCTCGGCCTCCTCGTCGGTCTCGACGGGGCGCGACGGCACGGCGGCTGTAGACGAGGGCAGCGGCGCGGGCGACGCGATGCGGTGCGCGGGCGCCGCGTCCGCGCCGACGAGCCGCGAATGGAGCTCGTCCTGCTCGAGCTCCTGGAGCTCGGCGCGCAGCTCGTCCTCGTCGAGCTCCGTGCCGACGCCGACGGGGTTCGAGATCGCCTCGGAGATCTCGTTCGAGAGGGACATCTGCTCGCGGATCGAATCCATGGTATTGTCCACTTTGTCGATGTCCATGCTGGCGTGGATCTGCTTGAGCGCAGCGGAGCCGCGCTGCATCGCCCGCATCGTCTCGAGGTTCATGTTGGCGTTTTCGATCGCATTCACCTGCGTCTCGAGTGTCATGCGGCTGCCCGCGAGCCGGTCGAGCTCCGTCTCGTACATTTTTTTCTGCCGCAGGGCCGCCTGCGCCGCTGCCGTTAGCGCCCCGCACGCACCTCGCTTGTTCGTCGTCACCTGCTCCCGCGCCTTGCGCAGCTCGTCGTCGACTTTCGTCTGCAGGTACTCCTCCTTCTTCGTGATGAGATGCAGCTGCTCACGCAGCCCGATAATAGCATCGCGCGCATTCGACTTGTTATCGCGCTTGCCACCGACCCAGCTGAGCCATGACGACATGCTCGCGGTGCACAGGTGTGGCGGCGCGCGGTCGGTGTGCGTCGCCGCCGGGGCCTGTCGATACGTCACGTGGCGTTATCGCCGGCGCGGCGCACGGCGCGCCTCGACCGTGGCATGGTGCGGCCGCTGCTGGCCGCGCTCAACCAGCACGGGCGGTACGCCTTCCGCGCGCCCGAGTACCAGGTGGACCATGTCGTGATCGGCGGCGGGGTCGTGGGCCTCGCCATCGCGCACGCGCTCGCGCAGCGGTGGCCGGACAAGTCGACGTACCTCCTCGAGCGGCACGCCCACGCCGGGCAGGAAACGAGCTCGCGCAACAGCGAGGTGATCCACGCCGGGCTGTACTACCCGGCGCACACGCTCAAGGCGCGCATGTGCCTGCGCGGGCGCGAGCTCCTGTACCAGCGCATGGCGCAGTGGGGCGCCCCCACGAAGCAGGTCGGCAAGCTGATCGTCGGCACGCGCGACGACCACGCGTACCTGGCGCGGCTGCACGCGCACGCGGCCTCGCTCGGCCCCCTCGCGCCGCCGACCGAGCTCCTTGCGGGCGACGAGGCGCGCGCCCGCGAGCCAGACCTCGCGCCGGACATCGCGCACGCGCTGTGGTCGCCGCGCACAGGCATCGTGAGTGTGCACGAGCTCATGGCGCACCTCGCGCAGGGACTCGACACGCTGCCGGGCGGCGAGACGCCCGACGCGGAGATCGTGTACGGGACGTCGGTCGTGCGCCTCGACCCCCACGACCCGCCGCGCAGCGCCTCGAAGCGCGGCGCGGACGCCTCGCAGGAGGGCTGGGTCGTCCACACACGCACGCACGACGCGGCGCACACGCAGACGGACGCGCTGCTCGCGCGCGTCGTCGTCAACGCGTGCGGACTCAATGCGCCGCGCGTGCTGAACGCGCTCATGGCCGGGCTGCGCGCGCCCGAGGCGCAGTGGGTCCCGATGTACTTTGCCAAGGGGAGCTACGCGTCGTACCGCGGCCCGGGGATCGAGCATGTGCGGCACCTGCTGTACCCGACGCCGCACCTCGGCACCGGCGCGCACGGCGCCCGCGCGGTGCATGCGCTGGGCACGCACCTGACGCTGGACCTCGACGGGCACGCGCGCTTCGGGCCGGACCTCGCGTGGCTCGACGCGCCGCCCGCGCCCGCGGCGGACGCCGAGGACGCGCTCGGGTACACGCACGACTTCTGGGAGACGCAACTCGCGCCGAGCGCCACGGACGCGTGGCTGGACGGCATGCACGCGGCGGTCCGCACGTACCTGCCCGGCGTGCAGCGCGACGGCCTCGCGCCGGACTACGCGGGCGTGCGCCCGAAGCTCGCCGGCCCGGACGCGCGCGCGTTCCAGGACTTTGAGGTGCTGTGGCACAGCAGCCGCGCGCTCGGGCAGCAGCGCGTGTGGCAGCGCGCGCTGCCCGCGTCCGACGCGCCGAGCGGCGTGCTGGTCTCGCTGCTGGGCATCGAGAGCCCCGGCGTCACGTCCGCACTCGCGCTCGCGGAGCACGTCGTCGACGGCCTCGCCGCGCGCGTGTGGGGCGCCGCGGACCCGCGCGGCCGCGCGCGGCGGTACGTCGACGGCGTCGGCCCGGCGGGGCTCGATGCGTGGGCCTAGGCTAGTAGGGCTACGAGGGGGTCCATAGACGCGCGTCGCCATCCGCGCCCGCACTGACGAGCCACGGCAGCGTCGGGTGCCACTGCAGGCCGAGCACGCCGAGCGCGTCCTGCACGCGGTGGCCGCGCAGGATCTTGAGAGGCACGAGCAGCGCATTCTGCAGGAGGTCCGCGTACACCGTCCCGTGGTACACATGCACGGTGCCGTCGTCCGACGCGCTCGCAAACAGGGGGTAGCGCGGGTGGAACGCGACGCTGCGCACCGCGCGCGTGTGGTACCGCAGCGTCTTGTACGGCCGCTCGGACAGGTCGAGGTCGAACCACAGCACGCGCCGGTCGTACGAGCCGACGAGCAGGTGCTCGCCGCCGGGGTGCACGTCCATCGAGCTGATCCAGCGCACGCCCGGCTGCAACGTCTTGACGAGCACCTGCTGCAGCAGGTCGTACACGCGCACGTACCGCTGCGTCGCGACAAACAGGTGCGGCCGCGTCGGGTGGAAGCACACGGCCTGCACCGCGAGCGACGCGCGGCCGCCGCGCTTCGTGCGCCGGAACGGCGCCTGCGAGCGGTGCTTGCTCACCTGGTGCATCAGCACCGCGCGCGCGCCCGCCTCGGGGCACACGGTCGCGAGGTAGTCGCCGCGCGCGTGCCAGCACACCTGCTTCGGCGCGAGCGCGCCGAGCTCGATGCGCACACACACGCCGCGCGCGCGGTCGGCGTCGCTCGCGCGCGCCCACCGCGCGACGTCCGTGTCCTCGGCGGCGGTGCCGGTCGTGAGGAACGCGACGCTCGCGGCGTGCACGGCGCCGCACGCGG